TGGAAGTATCGAATATCTTTTAATATTTGATAGTCTAGTGTTTAGTATCTGGTATCGAGGTACTAAAAATAAATTTATCTAGTTCCGATCATTTAAATGCAGATCATTCATTCATTTTGAAGTGCATGAACCAGTTCCCTCAAAATTACCTTTATATATATCAATTCTCTCTAAACTACATAAAGCAAAATGCACTGGTTACCTTCAGTATATTGTACACACGACCATAATGATTCTATATCTAGCGTAAAATATAGAAGGTATATATTATATGACAGCGCATAAATGTGGCTGTATATGATTGTAGCGTGTTAATTATAAAGTAAGAAAAAAAAATAAGACGGACATATTTCCCACAGCCACTGTTGTTGGTGGGAAGTTGGGAAGGTAGGATACAGACGAGAATTTTATGTGTATCTTTAACCAACAATAAATTATTGATAACGATAAACTATTCTAAATAGAGTTCAGTTAATAGTGTTGCTTCGTCAACAATATATATATGTATTACAGTAAAATGATTACAACAATATGCGTTTCCGTGACAATAATGATTTTTTAAAAAAGATTAAATTAATAAAAAATTAATAATAACAAAAAAATAAATAAAAACGGTTGCCAATGACAACCTTATTTTTAATCTTTCATTCTTTTTTAATCTAAAGAATCAAGTTTTTCTCATTATCTCGAATATTAATGAGAATTTTAAAAAATGACCTCTAAAAATATTACCCATAAAACATTTCTTTTGCAAAAAGGTGCTATACTTAATAATTGGAATAAGCTTTCTAGTAGAAAAAGTGCTTACATAAAAAAAAAATCAACATTATTGTAAAACCAATATATTTCTCGCTCCGCTCTGAATTTATAATGCATGTAATAAATAATAAATACAATATTTTAAACAATAATAATAATAATAATAAATAGTATACATTGTAATTTTTTAATAAATACAAATTAAAATTGAATAAAAACGAAAACAATTTCAAACAATGAAAATCGTGTAAATAATTGCAATGAGGTAATGTTAAAATGTTTAATTTATCTCATAAAGATATATTTACATCGGATATTCTATAAAACAATGGTCTGCTTCATGAGACAGTATTAATGAAAAGCCGAAAATTAAATGACGCCATTATTCAAACTACACATTTTGGTAAAATTACCATCTTTGTACTGGATTTTGCTGTTTTATACGCTGAGAGTAACTGGCACATTTTGATCACATTTTGGTCGAGGAAAACTGGTATATTTTTTAAATGCCGAAAATAGCCGCTGGGGGCAACTGGTCAAAATCCATTTATAAAGTATCTTGTCCGTCCGTGCAGTGCATATAGAATAATATTGGAATCTGATAAATGTAATTGTAAATGATGATACAAGCACAAAACGACGACGTATACCAACCTATATATAATTCCGAAATGTTTTATTGTTTGCGGTGTTACGGATGGACATAGTCTGATGCGGACGGCGTTTTCAAAAATAATGAGAATAATAATAAATATATAATAATCGAATTGTTTGGAGAAGAAAATATTCGAAAGGAGCACGTTTTGAAAAAAAAAAAAACGATGTCCGAGATTAAATGCAATTAATAATTACCCCATTTCATATTATTGAACGGCAGCGTATTATTATGTTATGGTCGAACAAATATTTGGAAGTAGGTATCTGTGTGATCTGTGTCGTTTATCTGCTGGTTACTTTAGTAGCTTCTCGTATTCCGGAGAGTGAATATTGTGTTGTTTTATACTTTCGTGTCTCGGATATATTTTGCTGTAAGCGGATGTGTTGCAATTTTTTCACCGTATATTTCAATGTAAACTCAAAAAAAAAAATATAAAGTTGACCGTGTAAGTAATGCTGTTATCGTGATAATAGTATAAATATTTAATTATATCAAGTGTCACATATTAATATAACATTGTGTTGCTTATATCTCGCGAGCAACAAAAGTGTTAATTATCTGTTTTCGAAATTTCAATTTTTAAACGTCAATAGGTTTTTCACTTCACGTCTTCTGCTCTAGAATTTATGCTGATGTACCACCATTTACAGAAAGATAAAGACACTCAAAAAGTGTTTTTTCAGAAACTAGAAATGCTGCCTTGAACAATTATTGTGAAAACACCAAGAAATTTTTTTTTTTTTATTCAGAGGCCGGTAGGTCATGTGAAACATACACATAGTACTTTTTGAATCGGGTGTTTAATGTTTATACTCTCGAAAATATTAACTAACTATAATGTGTGCATTTATTCGCTAAAAAATTACCAGATATACATAAAAATAGACGGCTATACTTCACACGTGAATGGACGTGGGTTTTGAGAACTGTTTTTGGAATTCTTCAGTTTCGGTTTTTATTTTGATAACGGTTTTCGAAATGGTTCGGTTTTGATTTGGGTTTTGAGAACAGTTTTTTTAAAAAAAGTTAGGTTCCAGTTATGGTTAGGATGTTAAACATAGCAAAAATACGGTTCTAACCATTTTCAACCGATTTTTTAAATACCTGTTTTGAACCCTGGTTATATGAATTATTGAAAGTAGATAGACCTGCACAAAGAAATTCACAATTTATTAACAAAAAACTTGAAAAGATACAGTCATACTCCGCACAACGGGTGGACCACTGTATTAGGTGGGAAATTGGTAAGATAGAGGAGAAATGTAATGTATAGTTGTACGCAACGTTTAACCATTGCTAATCAAACACTATTCTGAGCGGAGTTTGGTTAATAGTGTTGCTTTGTCAACAATATACAGAGTGATTTACTAAACGTGGTCACCTCATTTTTTTGGTTGAATTTTGCATTTATTCAAATTGTGATTTTTGAAATTTTAGTGGAAGAGTACTGGAGTCCTAAAAAAACGCAAACGTGTCGAGTTGTCACACAAATAATTCTTCATTTCTCTCTCCCTATTTAAACTTAAAAGTGGCATATCTCATTAACGGGTTGACGGAAATCAAAGATGTGCGCACCAAAATGTAATTAAAATAATAGGTACTCCGACTATTTACAGAATTTTTAATATAGATTCTCGTTTGAAAACCAAAGTTGGTATCGTCATAGGATACTCCTTAAATACTTTGTAAAATCTAAGTATTCGAAAATGTCGGCTTTCAAAAACTAAAAACAAGGTTTTAAAAAACAAAATTTAACCAAAATAATGGGGTGAGCATGCTTAGTGAATCACTCTGTATATGTTACATTACGGTGAAATAATTTCATATACATAATATATTTCATTATTAATATCTAGAGAATACTGATAGATCAAGAAAAAAACCGCAAATGTATAAGCGTAAAATTGCAATTAAGTTTTAAAACAAAAATTGTCTTTGCATTAAAAAAAATATAATTACTTATTTTATTCGTATACCGCTATTGTCTGCTAGAAAATACCATTATGTCTGTACCAATTTTCCGTTTAAAGGATTGTGATTTATGGCTGTCCTATCGTCTAAGCTTTTCTAATACTGCATTATTGTGACAGGTAAACAAGACGAATAGTCCGAGCACAGAAACTGACATTTATGTTTCTAAGCAGAAAGTGGACGAGTTATTATAGAGTAAAACAAGAGGTGCGATGTGTTATTTTTCTTCTCGGGGAAAATCACTTCAGGACAATCGAAAATATTGAAAACGCTTCACCCGGAGACCACGTATTATTATACTAAGCTCATTAAATTTTAATTTTTTTTTTTTTTTTGGTGAGAGCCCTTTGCCTCCAAAAAATCACTTATTAACTCGTTCAAAAGCTTACTCAAACTCGGGTCTTATTCGAAATAAAAATGTCTGGATTCCTAACAAAAATGTTAGGTTTGTTTTTGTCGATTCTTGAGTTGCCTTGACTATATAGTCATTATAGATCATTGTAGATTTATCATTGCTTTAAATATAAATTAAATTATCTTAATTCTAATACGTGTCAAATTTCTCACCTACTACAGTGGCCGGACCACGATACGTTCAATACATTAGACTTATTCGCTATTTATTTAAACAGACATTTATTCAATTATTTCGATTTTATTAATTTAACTTACTGTTCACATCGATACTGGCATTATAGTGATTTCCAAAAATGATTTTTGAACCGTTACATTTACCAAGTGCGTATAATTATACAAACATTAATGCTTTGCATAATATGGAAAATAAGGATTAACGTAAATATTGTTGATTATTAAATAATCAAAATTGGCAGAAAATTCAATTTTAAAATCGTTCGATTTTCTCCTATTTATATTTTCGCAGAAAGATATAACACAAACACATAGAACTTAAACGAAATATTTAACTGTACATACTATAATAATATAATATAATATATAATATATATATATATTAATATACATATAATATATAATCGTTTTTTTGTAGAAGTTAACTATTAATTATCGGTTTATGTATCGGTGGGTGGATGGGTGGACTTAGGAATTAGGAATTTTATTTTTAATTATAATTTATGTAATTTAAGTATAATTATTTTAAAAAGTATCTAACATGTTAGTGAGACATTACTCCCATAGCTCCCTCCCTGTGTCCATCCCTTGTTGGGTGGGTGGTAGGGTTCAAAACTAAGATGATTTGAACCACTATATTTAAATTTATTTGACGCTGCTAGAGTGTGTAATTAGAGGTGGCGTTTATGAAAAGTGACCATATCCAATAAGCGTTTTGACAAATGACTGGGATCATTTTGTTCTATCAGTATATATCGTATTATACCTACTTATAGTATTTGTTAGAACAGCACTAAGTGTAATATTGTTAGACCACGAAAAAGATGAATTTCGTATTTTTTCGAGAAAGGGGGAGGGGGTTGGATATGAGAACAAAAACAATATCGCTTACGAGCCTACATCAAAGTCAAATATGGAAGTAAAACATCAATATATTTACGTTTTGCAGGCCCAAATATAATCAACGACGAAAATTCGTTAGTTACAATATTGTGCCATAACAATTTTATCGACACACGCAATGATCGTCGTGACCGCCACCACAACGCTTTTCATGTCATTAATCTGGTTAGGTCAATCGACGAATGCGGTTTACTACGACCATGGTAAGATTTTCGACGCGACCGTAATTCCGGTCGTCACAAAAGAAAATACGTTGAATAATCCCGTGGATCAAAATGGTGGCAATTTACCTTTTGATATATCGGTAACCCAGAGCAAAACTACATTACCCATTGTAGGCGATCCGCTAAAAAGTAATTGGTTCCCGACGAACCATAAGAATACAAACGCCGACGGAAGCGAAAAGAACACGAGCAGCACTGCAGCGGTCGACGACAGAATGTATCGACTGATCAAAAAGTACGAATTATGATTTTTTTTTTTTTATGTATACTGTCGACAAAGCTTTGCATATATTTTATTACTTATACTTCAAACGCACGTATCATAATTTTTGATAAAATTTGATTGTTGTCGACAATAATACCAAGTGTTTCTGAAAATGTATTGTCCTATAAATTGTTTTGTTAGGGTCATGATTACACCGTAAATTACGAATATGATAACATTACTTAAATCAAAACCGTATATCAATGTACCTATTTCAGTTAGGAAATGACAACAGAAAAAAGATAAGTATTATTTCAAAAATGTTGTATTATAATAAGTTTTTGATCATTCAGTAAAACTGCAAAACCTGAGATACGCAGTTTTGAGTATAAGTGACTATTGTTTTTACTTTGATGAGTTTTTTTAAGACTGTAAATACATTTTCTAAGAAATCTTGCTCATTTTTAATCTAGTAAGTGCTTTTTAGAGGTCGTTTTTTAATTTTTCGTATAAAATGAAAAACTAACAATTTCTGTGTAATTTAGATTGATTCCTGGGAAGCTTGGCAGCAAGGCAAATATAATAATATTCTATTCAGAATCGTTTTTTATTGATTATGATTTATCGTAATATAGATATTAAAAAAATTACTCTAAAAGGCGATCCATTAAAGTGGATAAACTCATTATCACTAAAAATATTCACTTTTTCATTTTTTTTTTTAAATGAATTATTTTATCATTTTATTTTACAAGCAACTCTTAAATGTTACCTGTCCATTATTTTCGTAGCCCTTATTTTCATGGTTGAAACAATTTCCTACTTTTGATTTTCTATACTATAAATTGCATAAATTGATGAAGAATCAGTTTAAATACATTTTGGTATTCAAATTTTTATCTTCTATCAACCCACTGATTGGATATTACACTATTAATTTTGTACTCTACTGTACTTTCCTACTATAACTCTATAATTACTATATTGTTTGAAAAAAGTAAATTCCTTTGAAGATAATGAGTGTATCCGCGTATATAGCTCACCTTGTATACATTCTTCTTTCCAACAACCCTCCTAAAATAGTGTCACACCCATTAGCAGAATCAGCTTTTTTTTTTGTTATGATTCAACGCTAAATATTGTCAGGGACATGCAAGATACTTTAAAATGAGATTTTAGATATTTGATACTAATTACATTAAGTACAATTTCATAACAAAAGATAGGTACTTTTCGTAACAGAAACATTATACAAGATACTTGTCGAAAATACGGCCCAACCCTAAGTATAGTTTTGGGTTTTCACGTAGGTATATTAGTATATGCGTATAATATTATACTAGGCGCAATATTATATTACGTGAATTTTGGTTTTTTTGTTTTCCTAAAATATTTTACCGTGTAACTATAAATAATAAAGCATATATTTTATTTTTGTTATTCAGTGACAGACCAATTATTCATCATAAGAAAATAAATCGCGTTGACGATCAAAATTTTAATACAAAAACGAACGAATTTGCCGGCAAAGAACACGTCCTGACTGGTTATCAAAAAATGTACGATTTGTCGTACGATTATTTAGATAACCCTGGATATAAAGGATATTACGAAAGCGCAGCTGATAAAACCGCATGGACTACTCCGGCGAATCGACCCGAACAGGCACGTCCGCTCTCGTCGTGGTCAACTGCAGGTGCAATAAGTGAAAATTCGGGTAGTTTGGTTCATCCTACGTACGAAAACGAAAACACTAAACCTTCTAAACTGTGGAGTATACCACCCACCAAGTATCTTTACAAGCTAATTGAATATAAAGAAAAAAAAATCGACTGGCATAAAATCGGTATGTGGGCACTCATCAAAATCGGCCTGTTAAAACTTGTAAAACTTGGTGTTCTAAAAATTTTACTCATTATCTTGTTCAAGTTTAAATTATACATGAAGGCAGTTTTCTTGAAATTCCTATTGTTCCTGAAATTACTACAGACCGTCAAAATCTCGATGTTACCATTAATCCTTCTGCCACTGTTACCGCAGATAATCGCACCGATAATAGGAGGTTTGACGCATCTTCTAACGTCACAAATCCCGGTACTCCCGTCGATCCCGGTGCATCCCGGCAATGTGTTACCTATGGTTCTACCGGTTAGTTCTAGGTTTGTAACGCCCAGCGTGAGCTTTTCAGGTGGAACCGCTGGACTTTCGAGCGGCACTGGCTCGTCAGGTGGAACGACCTATTCGAGTGGAAGTAACCTATCGGGCGGAACAAGTCTTTCAAACGGAATTTTTTCTGATCGTAATCCCGGGGGAACAGATCTAACAAATGGATCTTTTAATATTCCTGGCGAAACCAGTGCTTCTACGGAAGGATCAACGATTTCCATCCGTATTCCTGCCGGCGGAACGTTCCAGTCGTCGTTTAGACTCGACGATTTGTATAAATATTTCGTCAGCAAGCTGAATTACAAGTCATTAGGTGTTTTTTATTCCACTTCAACAACATTCCAAAATATAATGAATTCGGAAACGTGCGCGGAAAGAATAGCCTGTCATATCGCCGCGGCCGAAAAGACTGGCGTCTTACCTCTCTGGATCAATTGGTGAGCCCCAATATCTGTTTAAGAGATCATGACACTTGTGAAATTTACTGTCTCAGTCCAAGATACTATAACTATACTAAAATTACGTTAAATTAAATTACAAAAAAAAAAAAAAATGTAATTTTCAATTACGGCATTAAAGTTTTAATATTAGTGTGTAGAAAAATTGAATAGGAGAATATTACAGAGGGCACCAAGTGGCTTTTTTCTAAAATATTGTTATACAAAAGAGTTACAGCCCTGTTTATGTTTGTTTTTATAAAACAGCGCTACCTTTTTTTGTTTTATAACTTTTATAATTTGAAGAAAGAGAACACGTTGATCTCAAGAACATCCTCTTTAAATTTCATTATGTGTGTTTAAACTTTATTGTCAACCATAAACGCCACAAAATGTCTGTAAGGGTTACGTAATTTCTGTGTTTTCTCGTTAGTTTTGAGACCGAGAAAGTAAATACGCAGTTATCACGTCTTCTTGAAACACAGAAAATACAAATTATAATAATGTTTGCCTTCACTTTTTAATAAGTATATTAAAATTGTAAAAAAAAAAATAGAATAATAATTTATAATCAACTAAATTTGTCATCAAAAATAATACCCGATTTACATTAATACAATATAGGTAATGTAAGACGAAATATTATCCTCGTATTTATGAGTTTTCAATAGAATTATTTTTCTTTTATAAATTAAATTTTTATTTGCAACATGGCGTAAATGTTATATTTTTAGGATATTTCGTCAACTGACAGAATCGATTCCTAACGATAAACTCAAGTCTTATACGAAAACTTACGAAGACATAAACAGGGAAATTCATATTATTCCAGCGTCGAATGCTCCGAGAAATTGGACGACTTGGTGCTCAGAACGTTACGGATGTCGTAGTGACGGTGCATCGAATCTGCATGATACAAATCAATAATAGTTTTTATTTAATATAATATTTTTATAATATTTGTATACAAATAGCTACCGATTAAGTAGATTATATTCAATTAAAGTTTTGAAGTATTCGATGTACTTACATACCCGTAAATTAATTTTGTTTTAAAATCATTTCTATAAAAAAATAAAACAGAAATAAATATCCGTCGATTAAGTAATTCGGGAACATTTGAAGTGATTATTATTCTTGTTGTTTATATTACAGCAAAATCTATTTTAATTTAATTTTCCTAGTATGTATTAGAAAATATATTATTTAAATATTATACGTGTAATATCATATGTAGTTGCTCGTTGTAGTACTCTGTTCCGACAGTTAAATTTCTTTTTTATTAAATTTCTTTTTTAAATTTTATCAAATTTTATTGTTATTATTTATTATTTTTGTAACATGTGTAGATATTATTATAAAAATAAAAATCCCTGTAAAATATTATAAAACGCGTGAATTCGGAAATTCTTGTAATCCCAATAATAATCAAAATAATAGTTATTTTTATTATTAACGATACTTCGATACCTGTGATAATAGAATATTTTTTTTTTCTTAATTTCTTTATTACAGAATTGGTAGTTTATTTCTTGTGTACTCAATTTATCCTTAATAGAATTACATATTTTTGAAATTATCGTAATTAATTATTATATTTTAAACGTTTCAGACATAATAATTATTCTATTACTGTTTCATCACGCATCACTGGTTTTATCGAAATTAAATATTATTGCTATCAATTTTGTTTCGGTTTCCTAATTATTGATTCAGGGAGGTGGGTACGTATTGAGAAAAAGATAAACGCAATATTTTACACGAACACGTTAAGTTGCACAATACATTTTGCCAATTGAGTTGTGTTTTCTCTTTTAAACTTAAATATAATATTAAAAAAAAAAAATTAATATCAAGTATAATATAAAAAGAAAAACAAAATTAAACTGGCCAAGTTAAGGCCGAACTCGGAGAAAACCAAAAAAGTAAGTGAAAATAACAGTGTGTCAATAATAATTTCGGAATATTTATACTATTACAATTTTACTAACACGACAAATCATAATAAACAAACGATTTCGAATTGTCGCTTGGATGCGAAGTCGTATTAAAATAAAAAAATAAACACGAGACCGAATCAACAACAAATTAAATAACTATTATATATTAAATAGGCAATGTCAATAAATGACAACACTATACACTACCATAAATAAGTACTATAAATCGAATATATAATAAATCCCCGTCGACTGGTATCGAAAACTCGATAAACCAGAAATTTATCCAAATGTTAGTTGAGGATGTTTTGATAAGATAAATGCCTAGTTCCTACCTATATAAAAGATGAGTAATTAAGACAGATAAGTATGTATCATAATACAATATTCTAATTTGTTGAAAATCAATACTATATCGTTTTTGAACTACCTCTTACTTAACTTGTTCAAAGATAATTGAAATCAAATGTTTACGATGCATGAAACCACGACGAAATCACGATAATATTCAATTAATATATAGTTTTAATAAAATAAATCTACAAAATGTACGAATAAATGTATGACCAAACTGCTGCCTTAAAAGCTTATGTTACAGAATTTGGAAATAATTTTTTTTTTTTGGACAATATTATCAGTTAGTATCAATTTCTGTATCTATTTTTATTATATTTATGTATATTATATTTTAAAAAACACCTGTATAGCGTATCGAGTTTAAAACATAGAATTTGAGCCTTAAGTTACAATATTTATAATGTGTATAGGTACACGCAGTGCATACTACGTATACGATTGGAAAAACATGCTTACTGAAAACAATAGTTAATGTAAAATTATCACTTTTTATAATAATTTTATCATATTATAATAATTTAATAGTTTTAAATATCGTAGCAGTGTGTGCTTGTTGTACCGAAAAACGTTCCGGTACGGTATTTTACAATACGGTATCCCATAACGAGTACCGGTTCAATGTGCAAGCTACGGCGGAATAATATAGGTACCGTACAAATAAAATGTTGTTTACCGTACCGGTACCGGACCCGTAGGCGCCGACTTTTAGATTTAAACACGGGTTGAAATAAAAAAACTACTGTGTATAGATATTATTTTTATACATATAACATTATAATCCCGGTATTTTATCTTTAGCCATATTTAGACAATAAAATGTGTTTTGATGAACATTCCATGTCAAAACTCATTAATTATAAATGCCATAATAATAATCAAATAATATTTTTACACAAAAGCGAAATATTATTTTTACGTTTTACCTTCGTTATAACTGAAGAACGGGAGCTATGCCTCCACTAAAATCAAAGTACGGGGGCAACTGCCCTCGTGGTCACCGTGCAGTTGGCGTGGTGACGAGTCGGTACCTATGGCCGGTTAGGTTAGGTTTCATTTTGTCGTTCTTTATTATCGTCATATATTTATGGAATTTTTAATACAGGTTGCCAATTGGAAATCAAAAGTAGGTAGGTAATGTTAAACCCACCAAACAATAATACGGTCCAGTTCATTTGGAAAATTCCCATTTCAGACCGGTCGCTTCCACCTCTGGCTATCATTAAAAATCATCTAACCTTAAATTTATTATCTTTTAAATAGGTACATTTTGTAAAAATTTTTTCCGAATAAAATGTTTTTCACACAAAAACATAATTTTGATTTGAATCAGACAATGAGTCGGTGCTGTGGTATAACTTTAAAACCTCCTCCTGAGCCGACTGACGTCCTAGCAAAAGTCTAAAAATGCCTTTACCAAATCCAGCAAATTCGTCGAATACATTGGCTCATTTTTTTTTTTTTTTAATTAAATAATGTGTCGGTGCAGCCGCAAAGATAGCAGCAACTATATTTGTGGATTTCAGATGTTTAGTGTACTAGAATAATCAAAAAATGCCCTAGCAAAATGTTGATACTAGTTATATAGTCCTAGTGCCGGTGCCAACTTGACAGACAGACTACTAAATCCATCTCGAAATCATTTCCTGTTGAAATCCTATTCAACACAAATGTAGTCAACTTTTTCAGACAAACGTGAAATAAAACCAACACGTTCCTCGCTCCGTTCATAATCTAAAATTCAATTGAATCATTACAGGCGTGTAATAATAGTATTTACAGTTGCGCGTATTGTCCTAGCTATTATTCAATTTTACATAACCGTATTATATATCCACGGAGGATAATATCGTTATTTAATTTGAACGTAATATCATTATAGCTGTATAAAAAACGGGCAATGTCAAGTCGGAACATTTTTAACGGTGCCTAATTATCGTTTTATTAAATATATTATACACTATGCCTATGGGTATGGGAGGAAAATATTCAAGTACTATGTTCGGGTGGGGCTTATTAATAAAGAATAACGAATATTCGAGCCCGTTAACGAATCAGTATTCCATTATATTTCAACAAAACAAAACATCTTTCCAATACATCTTTATGCTTATTCAAATATATTTAGTATAGTTTGTTTTTCCGGCTACTTTGGATCGACCTGTATACTTTGACCACTATACGGGGAACGGTGTAACATACTATCAAGTTTATGATACGTTAATATTATTTAACAGATTATTATGTGAGTAAAAACAAATTATTAAAATACGATAATTAATGGGATTTGAATGGATTTTGCCGGATTTTCTAAACAAATTTGAAATTTGAAAGTTAGTTTTTAAGTTTAAACGATAAGACTTTTTAAACTAATCTACTACCCGATATCCATTTAAAAGTAACGGATACGGCCATTTTTATGAACTAATATGACGTTTTAGACAGGAAAATAAGCTAGAGTAAAATTCATTCAATTTAATTTTGAAAACATACTTATTTGAATTCTTTGACTTCCTGTCTATATATTGTAGGAAACATTTGTTAGTTGTTTTATTTTGTTTATGTAGTTAGAAAACAAGACGATTTGATCGTTTTTCTTAAAAAAAATTAGTACATAATAGTCTTACAAAAAAAATTATGCATATCATAAAAATGTATATAAAATCAAATCATTTTTTTTAAATCAGGAATTGGACTATTGAAAGTTTATTCATTTTACTCCAGTTTGTTGGTCCAAATATATGAACAAACGAATTGATTTCAACGTCCTTAATTACGTACTCGTTGAGTATATAAAATCATAACGGTTAGACTAATGGAATATTTTTATTTTAAACACTCGTTTTTTTTTCACGTTGATATTTATTTTAACAAGGAATACATTTTAAATTTCAAATAAAAAATGGAATGAATATAAACAAAAATACTCAGACGTTTGAGTACTATACTTTTGAATTTTAACTCAATGTATAAAAATCAAAAAAAAATTATAATGATTTTCTCGGTGGAGCTTGAAATAAAAACTTAAACACTTCCATGGGTATTATTGTCTGAGGGAACGCTGAGTGAACGCAACAGCTATGATGTATAAAAGGAGACATGAATAGTAAAAAAATTATTTGCTGACCCAATTTTTGCGGGACGAACAAATACGAGGAAGATAAAGTTTGTTACCCGAATATATAATTTTTGCAGGCCTACAGAAAACACTTCGCGACGTCGACCTGCAGCCGGCGTCCGAAGGGTCGTGAAGTTTTTGATAGTCACCGTGGTAATAGCAATCGTAATGCTCGTTTGCATTCGGCTGGGTCGGTCGATGGCCAAAACTAAGTCTTCACCGGACGAAAGGCCTTTCGTAGCGGCTGACGATCTGAACGCGACAGTCGTAGAACCTATGGTGCCGAACAGCAGGTCTCTAAACGCCACCGTGGTCCAAACCGACCAAGTTGAACCCAGGAGTGGTGTGCTGCCAATTTTCCGTCATCGGGGTACATCCACGGGCAAAGAAAACAGCTGGCTCAACCATAAATATTTGGTCGGAGACATAGTGAATAAAACTGACTCCATTGCGGACACCGGAATCCAAAATAAAAACAATATCAACAGGTATAGATAACACAATATTGTATTTAGGTTAAAACTCAGCTATTTTTATACTTATACCTAGAAATAGTGTAATTCTAATGACTTCGATACCCATCCCGAAAATTGAGTTTAAAATGTTATCATAAACTTTCAATTCGTTCAAAAGTCCTCCGAAAAATCACACATGTATACTACTATACTACTATCACCATATACTAAAAACATTTTTCGTTTATTTACATATTATGTATAGAAGAAAACGGTTGCTTCTCCTGAAATTTATTTTTGAAGATTAAAGTGTTATAATATTTTATGTTGAAAACAACAATAAATCATTGCATTCAAAATACACGATTCGATGTGTACGTAGATGACATTCGAGAAACGTAGTCATCTACACTTCGTTTGTAAAAAATAATCGTGATAAATAAGTGCATCAATTTGTTTTTGTATAGAAATAGGTGAATAATAGGTATTACTTAAATTTGATAATTTGTATGCTAATTCTTCAATATCTAAAACTTACTCGGAACTCCATACTTTGGTTACCTATTATTAAAGTAAAATTTTTGTCGAATTTGCAAGGAAAACAGAAAAGATACCACTGCAGTACTGAGTTTGTTTACATATTTATTTTTCCCGATATATTTGGTTACTTTTAGCGGTTCCCTCTGGACCAAATAAGCTCAAACTCGGAAATTGGAGTTGTTTTCTAGATGGTATGATGTAATTATAGTTGGACTAAATTTTACCATGTTATTGAGGAAGTGAACAGTATTTTTTTTAACTTCGAACACTCCAACAGTCCTCCAAATGAAGCAGGAGCAAATAGCATTTTGTGTATACAAGACGTTAATATTATCATCAATTTGTTTTGTTGGGTTTCAACTTTCCCCCCCCCCCCCTTAGAATTAACATGCTCAAATTTCACCATTTGTATTTAATTTTTTTTTTTTGACTTTGTATTATATTAATGAAAGTTAATATTACCGATATTGTATTACTATAATATTCGTTGACTTATTTACAAAAATTTCGTATTTCGTTAATACAAAATAATTGCGGGAAAATTCTAGTGATGTAGCTCTACTGCTTACGGGTGTTTTTTTTATTTTGTGAGAATATAAATAACTTTTATTACTCATTATTACTAATGAATAATAAACTAAAACTTCGCTAAATTTGTTTATACTTGTTCGATTTTTGTTAATAGAATATACTGAAAGTTGTTCAAGTTTTCAATAGTTATAATTTTGATATTGAAATCCCGACAGTTAAAATCCTGATAAGGTTAAAACCATGACAGATAATATTACTTAATTAATTTTGCACCTTATAGAAGGTATACATTTACATTATATTGTGTCTGACCATTAGATGAGAATACGTAACACTTGATGAAATTTTGGCAAATCTATTATCAAAGTATTTAGACCTTGTTAAGATTTCAACTTTGGGATTATAAATTTGTCGAGATTCGGTCTCGGACCCAAATACATTAGATAATGCAAGTATCTATTAAATTTGATAAACGATGATTATATATGTTATAAGCAATTAGTTTATGTACGAATACCGGTAATTTCTAATAGTTATTTTTACACATTATTATAATTAACATTTTTTTTTTTTTTTATAGACAGATAAATTACGATGATAATTCGTATTTAGAGACGCAGAAATGGTCAACTGAAAAAGATGGATCGGTTGGCAACCGTGACCAATACGACTTGGCCTATAACGCGGCCGGCGACTATGGCTATAACTATAAGCAAACCGATGCTCCAGTTACGGACGAAATTCAAGGGTATGCCATAGATCCTGAACCAAACTACCCTGCGCTCGTCTACGGACCCTCTTATTACAGACCACTAGAAAATCCAATCATTTCGGACTATCAAACGCCTAGTACCAGTTACTATCAACCGCCGAGTACCAGTTACTATCAACCGCCGAGTACCAGTTACTATCAACCGCCGAGTACCAGTTACTATCAACCGCCGAATACGGATTACCAACCACCGAGCTCGTATTATCAATCACCCGGTACACAGTATCAACCGCCAAGCTTGCCTTATCCACCGCCTAGTCCACAATATCAGCCACCCGCAAAAAAAACGATTTTACGTTATCCAACTCCGCCAAGTCCTCCGCCGAAGTTAGTGATTCCAGTAACGAATAAAAACGTAGTCGACTGGAAAATAATCTTCGGCATATTGACACTCTTTAAATTTGGACTTATCAAACTTAAAGCGTTCGGCATTATACAATTGTTATTATTTCTAGTGTTCATACTAAAAGTGTTCTTGGGAATACTACTCATCAAATTTGTATTGCTTTTGAAATTAGTGAAATTTTTGAAATTCCTACTAATGCCACAATTGTTTTTCCTATTGGGTTTACCAGTGATTACCTCAATGCTCTCTCCCATCGTTCTGACTACGATGATGTCGATTCCGGGACGGATAATGAATATGTTAAAAGAACCGTCTAATTCAACCATGATGCCGGTCTCCATGATGCCAGTGTCTATGATACCGTACTCCATGATACCATCAAGATTTTCTGAAACAATACCATCAGTGTCTAGACCAAATATCCCGTCAACCAGTTCATCAACATCGAGTTTACAGACTCGGCCAGTTGGTGGTAGTTCAGGATCTGGAGGTGGTTCAATGAGTTCTTCCTTGTCGTCAACTATAAGTCGTCCATCAATGGGTCCTTCAGCAAACACAGTTACATTACCCAACGGTACGAGATATACAGTACGCCCTGAAGATTTAATTCCAAACACGATGCAAACAGGTCTGCCCGTTAATAATCGAAGAGCTCTAAACTTCTCGAAAATCGACAATGTAAATTTACTATATAATCGGTATAATGAATCATTATCGAAAAATTCAAATACTCTGGATATCGTTCATGATGTTTTAAATTCAGACAAATGTCTAGAAAGAATTGCTTGCCGATTGGCCGTGTCAGAAAAACCCGGCGTCACGCCTCCGTGGATCAATTGGTGAGTCGCACAAGTTGATTAATCCTCATTGAATTATCCTTCTTTAAAACGATGTGACATTCCGATAGCAAAAACAAAATCTCATTTTTAGAATTCCTTCATAATAAACGAAATTAAAACATTTTTTTTTTTTAAATTCATATATTATTATTATACATGTTTTTAAATTTTTATTCGTTAATACTCTTGAAATCAAGAACGATAATATTTGGTTAGAAGGACTGCAAAAAAAATTGCAGTGGGTAGCCATGAATTAAGCGTATGTATAGGTGACGGACTCATATGCCAGACACAATAGCCGGTCAATGAAGTGATTTCAACCATAGTTAGAGATATGTAAGAGTACGACAAAGGTAGCAATGAATTGGTTAAGATGTTTGGAATTCGAAAACTTAATACAGGATATTTATATATTTTTAGTTATAAACGGGCTTGCGCCCAATACTACAAATTAAATGAGTGAGAATAATAATTACAAATAGTAATACAAAGATATTGTAACAATTGCAGCTTAAAATATACAACTCAATGTTAATTCAATTTATACATAAATAGGGGGTGAGGGAATCGGAATTCTTGAGATACATACATTGACGCAAGAGCTAATTATGCCCATAATTTGTAACAGTTGTATGAACATGAAAAAGAACAAGTTGGTGTGAAGGGTGAGGTGGATATTAGGAGAATGGGCGCATTATGCATATAATATGTATTATCAATAACTGTCTAGACAAATTTTAAATTGCCATCAACTCTTTTGTTCGCTAGAATAGCTAAACCTAATAATTAATGCATATATAGGACAGTAGCGTAATCTTAAAATGGGTGGTTAATATTGAGAACATGACTTGCTAAGGAGACGAAATGCCATTGAATACACTTTAGAATTAAAGAGTTGGATTACTATATTATTGAAATTATTTTTATTATTTTTTTAGGATACTTAAAAGCGTGTCAAATACTATCAACAGTGAAAATCTCAAATCGTATTCCAAAACTTACAACGATGTAAAAAATACAGTTCTCCAAACCAACTCATCAGCTCCCGATAATAATAACTGGTCAACTTGGTGTTCGGAACGGTATAGCTGCAGTTTTAATAATACAGTAAAGAATTCAATGGAGACAATAGTCAATAGTTATTAATATTATTGTTTCTATTTTCAAAACGGATTTTAAATTGTAGCGTCCCAAACGAACGTAACATTAAAATAATATCCCAAACAAATAAACGTAACATAAATTGTTTATAAACTAAATTATTTGTAAATAACTTGTTTAAAATTATGTAATAAAAATATTGTATTAAATATTTTCTAAATTTTATTATTTTTATTAACTCAATTATAATGTAACAGAAAAAAAAATAACTTGTTCCTCAACTTTAAACATTTTAACTAGTTATTACTGCTCAGCTTTGATAGAGTTTAGTATGGCCGATTCATAACAAAATTGTATAGTTAAATTAATAATCTCGATAATTCTTTCTATGTGTTATTTAAAAAACGAGTAATTCTCACAGTTTTGCATGCATATATTTTAAATCGCGGGTTTCCCTCTTCTAAGTAACGAATGTTAAATATTGAATTCAAATTGTATAGTTCGTTGACATAATATTTTAGTATGCTTACCCACCTAAACTGGAATATCTGAATAACGTAAATCAATTACTAATATAATCTTGGGTACTCTATAGACACTTTAAATTCGTGTAATGCATACCAAATATTGTAAGTATTCTCTTGCTAACTTTTTGAATAGGATTTAAAATTGAATTAAACCCGTCTACCAACTCATAAATTAATGCAGTGATTTTCCACAACAAGTTAAAAGGAATTTATGATTCGCGGAACGGACTATCGTATATAGTAAAACGAGTTGAACGAACCAAACTCGACATTACTGCGATATCATTTAAGTGTTGAATTTAAAATTAAATGCATTTTATTAATTATGTAACAATGTAATATTTTTTTTTTTAATTTACATTTAAGATTGTTTTTTATATTAAATGTTATAATTGTTTTATTATTAAAAAACAATGTCTAAAAACCGTACGCAATAGTATCGATACTGACAATAAAGGAAGAAGCAGAGGCGGACTGAGAGTACTTCGGTCCAAATGAAGAAGATTTAAGCGACCCTCACGTTTTTTTTTGCGTATGTTCAACAAATTTAAAGCTTGCTACGCTCGCTTATGGAAAATTTATAAAGGCCTTTACATATATTGTCTTTTTTTTACATCAAATACAATATTGTAGCACACAAAATAATCAAATATATTATACTACCACAAAAAAGTGAATGGCATATTTTCACATTAATAGTCATAACAATGATATAATAGGGGACAAATTATTACTGATAAATGACCCCAACTGTTTTTCAGGGATAACTCAAGAAGGGATGATTTACAAATTGTGGATTTTCGCTTATAAACACTAAAAAATAATGTAAAATATTTTGGTCAAAAGTTAAGAAATGACAGAAATAAATTTTAGTGAAGACCTTAAAATAGGGTAACTTAGATAATATGTGTGCTAACTTTGATAATAGATATTATTTTATTAAAACATTGTTAAAAACAGTTAATATCGTATATGAATTGACGTTTTAGGCTAAATATCAAAAATTGGATTTTGATAAACCGTTCTTATTTATATATGTTTGTAATCTGTTAAAACTGTTATTAAACGTGCTTACAATATCATTAAAATTGTAAGCATGTAAAATTGAAATAGCCCAAAAACTAAGCCAGACAATTTTTTTTTTTTTTTTTTGCAATTTTGATAGTTTTACCGCCATATAATATAATGATATAATGAAAAAAATAATGGTTATAAAAGTTACTCTACAATAGGTGAAACATTAATAACTACATTAAATAATACAAAAGTATTAGATAAAACGGCTGGACTTACAAATTTCAAATTTTCGCTTACAAATACTTACAAATGACTTACAAAGTTATTAGCCTGGGGACGGGTGCAGTCAGTGTTGTAAGTGAATAGTGAAGAAGATGAGGTACATAAATTTATTTAATTTATACTTTTAGCCAACGATAAACCATTGATAAAGAAAAACGATTCGAAGAGAAGTTCTGTTATACATGTTTTGAAAAACTGTAATATTTACGATTTTTGTCAAAATTTTGTGAAAAACAAAAAAAATATTTCAAAACAATCAATTTTTTTTTATATTACACTAAGTTCAACTTATAATGAACCTCGTGTTAAATGTTCAAGCATCACTTCTGTTTAGTCTGACGATCTATCTACAGAGTACCTACCAAATAAAAATTACGTAAAAAACTCGCAAAATAAAACGTCTATAAATATTATGATTTATTGAACTTGTAAACAAAATGCAAAAAAGTGTGCTAATACCAATATGTATAATGTAACCCAAAGGTAAAATATCAACAGTTAAACCAAAAATCGATATTATGAAGAACTTTTCGATTTATAATAATAACTGTAATAATTTATTATTTAATATCATTTGAGCATTTGGGTAAAAAAATGTACCTTTATTTGTTGTTAGCATTTCGGGAGTGGCGAAAAGTTGCATGAAGAAGACACGTGAGTTAAACAAGTTGTAATCAGTAGACAATCAGCATACCAGATATCTTAAAATAATCAAAATTATAAATTTATCTAAACGGAAATCATCAAAAGAAATTTTTCATTCGTTTCGTTCAACAACATTTATAATAATAAACCCGATCACGTTTATTTTATATAGGTGAGGACCGACTTTGTTGACTTTTGAAATAGAAATTTTGACACAGTTATTATTTTAAAATCTCATATAATAATATAAATCTTTATTAATGTTCTTAAAAAAACTATTCGCATAAACCGGCAGCGTTGGTCAAAATTGTCTTTCAATTTGGAAAGCGAAAAGTTGCTTGCATTTTGGATGAATTTCTAAAAAATATTACCATAAACTTCATTGAAACTAAAAAAATCAAGACATTTTTCTATTTTCATCATATCATTTTCACAACGAAGTTCAGCATGTGTACTGAAAAATGAACACACAACACACTAGTCACACTACATGGCTCAAAAACTATGATTTTTGTGAATTATTTTGTTAAAAATAATTTTGTCTAGGTTTAAAATAAAGTTAATCTTTTGTGGAAGTACATAACAAATTTTAACATTTTTTTTTTAATTAAGAACGTAGGTAGATTAAGCTCTGTCTTATAAATCGCATGGCTGAAGCCCGGAGCGTTCCTGCAATACGAGTTTTAATTTATAAATAATGTTCCGTTCGATTAAAATGTGGAATACTATAAGAGGGAGTTTTCGTACGTAGGTACCTATTTATTAATAATGTATTATAGTTGTGATGCAATATTATAACATTATTAATATTGAAATTGAAATTGAAAACCGATTTGAACCATGAGTTCATTTTATAACTGTAGATATTTTATAAATCAGATAGAAAAATATGTATATATATATGTATTTACATATTATATATCTTATATATCTGATAAAATAACAGTAGATAAATATTTTACATTTCGTTGCGAACCATTACGAACGGTTTATTACATTTATGTGTGTATTATAGCCATTATATAGCTAAGTAGTGAGTATCGTTTTTAGCTATGAAAAATTTTCGTGCATTAGCTATGTCGATAATCACAGAAAGATATACAGGCACTTTATTGTAAGTAGGGGGGATTATTAAAGTTCAACACATTTTTATCCGTTCGCGTGTCAGTAGTACAGCACACCAAGTACATAAACCATCTTGAGTATATAGGTATTATTTCATAAAGACTTATGGGTTTTTCGAGTATTTTATAATATTATTTTCTCGGCAAAATAATACATCGAATCGTCCACAGAACATAATAGTATTATACCGCATTGAAACTCGAACTATGTGAGTACAAAATAAACCTACTTCACTTACATTAGGTACTGATGGCCATTTATAAACACACACAAATAAATTAACATGTAACATTTATGTACATTTCTTTTTATTGTGTTAAATTTAACACAATAATAATTTGGTCATAACCGAAGATAGCAACAAGTTACTATATTGATAACTTTTAAATAAACGAACTTAAAAAAAAAATAATAATAGAAAATAACATCTTAACTTTTTTTGATAAGTTATTTTAACTTGGCTTTGTTATTCGGATGTAAATTATTTTTAAAAATCATTTACGAATTTTCGTATAAAATCTATACTTACATTTATCATCTACCATTAATATTGACAAAAATTACGTATTAGTAAGTTTATATCTCATTATCATATAGTTAGACTAAAATAGTCCACACACGTGTAAATGTAAGAAATATAAACGTACAAAATACTTTTGTGAGTGCAGTTAATGATAATTATTTTAAAAAAGAGTACCTTTTAACTTAACGTGATTTAAATTTAAATTTTTCTGAAAATATGTAACTTAACTTAGTAATTCTAATTTAAATTTTAAAATAAAGTTTAACTTAGCTAAGATATTTTTTTCATATAATTTTAACTTAAACTAGGTAAACAAACTCGATTAACTTATCCGGTTTTGATCTTAACTTTAATAATATCATAATTATTATTATTATATAATATAATCATTCTATTAAGGTGAGATAGTATTAATTTTAGCATAAGTAAATCTCAATGCCTTTTTGTTATGGATAAATGTAGATTTAAAAGAATCTTTGTTAAAATTTAAATTCAAAGTTTTTATTTTTTTATTTACATTGAATATTGTAAATTTGTTATAGTATAGTTACTTAGTGGAGTATTAGTTATAAAATTGTGTTACCATTTTTTCAATTATACCGATGTTTACTCTCAATAAAAAAAAATGTTTAAACGTAATCTCTTTTAAGTATCTTTTTTGTCAAAACTATATATACCTACTGTATCGAGAAATTTTATGGGACTTCTAAACTTATTAACTCACAAACACACGTTTACTCGTGCATTTAATAATTTATACAAAAAACTAAAAACTTAATAAGCGTTATTGAAAAATAGATAAGTGTTTCACTTGAAAAAAAATATACAATTTGTTATAATATTGCGTTTAACTATCAGTACCAATCTCTGTATTATTAGTTTTATCAAACCTTAATTGATATTATTTAAATAATTTTCCAAATTAGAGCAGTACGCTGTATAGTGTAATCGATTGTTAAAATATGACAAATAGGTACATTTCAGTATATATTACATAAATTTCAATACAATTTTGTGTTCTTACTGACAAAAAATCAAACCTAATTTAAACCCTAAATTTCGAAAACAATAACTGTATAATGGATTACTGTGTGTACCGAATACAATGCGATTATCACTCCAGAGCTTTTGGATTTAATTCATCGCGATGCAAAACACGTCGGATGATATTCATTAGTAACATTCAACCCGATGTAAATGAAGTGCTATATTTTATTGTGTACGATTTTCGAGAACGCAAAATCTATAGGTTATTGTTTACGAGATGATCGATTGTTATCATTCTATTATTATAATTAATGATTTCGAATTTACAATATTGTTGAACAATTACGATTTAAATGCGCTTCGGTTAGGTTTTCCTTTATCACTAAAAATGCATAAAGAGTACCATTATACAAATAACAATATTATATTATATATAATAGTGGATTGGATTAATTATCCGGAAAATAAAAATATAAACTACGTAATATTTGATCAAAGTAGAATATTAAATGGACGATTTTCAAAATATTCAATACTAGGCCAAGAATTATATACCTATGTAGGTAACACGTCAATAAACAAAAAATATTCACCCTGTCGAAAACATTAAATTAAAAAATTGTAATGTTTTTCATAAATATACTTAAAATTGTTTTTTTTTTTTTTATGTAGGCCAGAAAACGAAAGTGGAAAAAAACCCACCAAATGTGTTACTCGAGTGATGATAATGTTAGGAATTTTGCTAGTGGTCGTGGCTTCCATAACGCTACTATATACCCTGTCCTATTTGCAGCAGGTAATCCCTCTTGCTGAGGACGCTCTTGTTCCAGCGGACAATGTTCACGGTATGGCTGATGTCTTGTTCACGACGGCAGCGCACAACCGAGATAAGCTATTTGCAGTAAAACTGCCTGGCCTTATTACCACAACGACAAAAGACGTCGTGCCAGACGGAGAAGATATCCAAAATCCTGAAGAAATATTGGAAACTAACATATTGAGTCCGATAACGTTAACAACGTCTGGAGAAGAAGAAGTAAAAAACGACTTGACAGTCAAATTGCCGTCGGTCCCTACGCTGGCGACCAGCAGGTCTCTGAACAGTGACATCGTGACAATATTAAAACGGAGCGATAATTTTGTAGTCGAACCTTTGATTACTAAAAACGTAATCTTGCCACTAGTCGTTGGTGAAAATATGACGAATAAAAATCTACGTTCGATCGACTATAGCGAAAATAACACGACCGTTGACAACGAAAATGAAAAAGACCAAGACACCGAAGACACAGCGAAAAATCAAACGAACGAAAGGTACGAAAATCGCTGTTTAATCGAGTCTTCTCCATATACTTGTTTGCCTTAACCTTGTGCACCAAATTATCATTCAAAAACAAATTTATAACGTGATTTTCAAACTTAATAAAATTCTATCTGACATTTTATGGAGTTTGTAATTCTCTAAAAACTTTTAAAACTGTTACCCCCTACCTATAAACAATATACATCATAATATAACGATTGATATTTACTGTACGAGTAAACATGTGATTATCATTTAAATATAGTTGTTTATCTTTGTTAATAGGCAATTTACCAAGCACAGACAACTAAATTACGAAAATTACACGAATATAGAAGCAGCTAAATTGGTAGTCGAAGAAGATGTTTCGTCTGGTTATCAAAGTTCATACGAACAGAATTACAACCTCGATGATTACGTCTACAGAAAACAAGAAAATCCAGCTGTCGGAACTGGATGGACCAAAGATCAACGTTCCGAAACTACGGACGGTAGCAGTAATAATTGGGATTCGTCTGCACATGAAAACGGGAACAACAGACAGTCAGTTCGACCACCGCCAAGTGCTCTGAGTAAATATCCCAAATCTGAAATAGAAGTACACAAAGAGTTTAAAATTGATTGGCAAAGAATTGGAATACTGGCGCTAATTAAACTTGGACTGACCAAACTGCAGGCAGTAGGTTTTCTCAAGATGGTATTTTTACTTTTATTTAAATTCAAGTTGTACCTGGTAGCTATTTTTTTCAAATTCGTATTATTCTTAAAGCTCATCAAGTCGTTCAATATAATGTTGATACCCTTCTTTTTTTTCAAATTTTTACCAACATTAATAAATCTTTTTTATTATACGATTGGACAAATATATCGGACACCTCAAATGCAACAAACGCAACAAATGCAGCAACTAATGAAACAAATGGAAAGACTGGGACAATTACCATCAAACGCAGGAATTGTTCCAGTATTCAACCCGGAAACCGACCAAGATTTCGTTTCAGCCATAAATCCAGGAATCGTCCAGAGACCCTCCTCGGTAATTAGTCGACCTGGTGTTTTAAGACCGTCTGGAATGATTACTAGAAATCGTTTTCCCGGTGAAACAATCACAACATTAGTTCCCGGTGGAATTGTACCAACAGGGGGCATATCAGGTGAAACAGTTGTCAACCGTATTCCCAGTGGTAGCTTAATGTTGCCGTCACTTAGACTTAACAGTATAATCAATGGCCAAGAAAGCTCTGCATTGGAATTGTATCATCCTATATTTGGAGTATTCCGAAGAGTGTTAGATTCGGAAAAATGCGTGGAAAGAATAGCTTGCCGAATTGCTGTGGTGGAGAAAACCGGTATGATGCCCTTCTGGATTGATTGGTAAGCACTGAAAATTCATATTGAAAATCATTATAAAAAAAAAATATTAACACATAGTACGATTTCCTTACGAAATCGATTAGTTGAATTTTTAATAAAACTGGGCTATTATATTATGATATACCTATGAACTATTTGTTGTTGTGTATTATTTATTTTTGTTTTAACCATATGTTATAATAATAATTGATATATTTGTCAGGATAATGCACAGAGTGTCAACATTGATTCCTAACGACAAACTAGAAACGTATCTCAAAACTTACAAAGACGTGAATCATACATTTCATACCAATTCAATGACTCCAGACAGTTGGGCAACTTGGTGCTTAGAGCGTTATGAATGTAATGGTGACGATGCTTCGATAAATAATGTGGCCGATACATATCAACCATTTTAATTATACGTATTGAATAAATAAATAATTATGTAGGTAGGCATTGTAAAAATAAAAATATGTAATGTTAGTTTTACGAAAATCTAAAATTTATGATAATTAAATTAGATATTTAAAAGTAATATATGATATAATATGTAAGATGTCAACTGTAACATAAACTTGTAATTTTTTTTTTTAACTGTGATTTTTCATTGCTGTTAAAGATAACTCAATGCTGAATATATTTTAATTAAAAATGTAATGCTACAATTTTAATTTATAAAAACACACAGTTAATAAAATAACAACATAATGTATGCCAAATTTTTTCCATAACATAGATTTTCAAATATATTTTGCTTTTAAATTTGTAGTCTTAATATCAATCCTAAATCTTCGTATGTTTTAGCTACTTATTTACAGTATTTTCAAACATTATTCAGCAGATAATATTTTATAGTATTACATAGGTGATAACTACTTGATTATATTTTGCGCCACTGCGCCAGTAATACAATGGATTTTATAATATTGTGCGACATAAAAAAATAATAGTATTTAATTTTCGATAAAATTATATTATGTGATTTTCGTCACAATCGGCGAATGTGGTCAATATAACTTTTCGTCAGAGTTTTTGTGTAATTATTTATTTTTATTATTTTGTGCCAATAGATGGAATTCAAAAAGTAATAATAATTATAGTAAAAAATTATACAAAAAATAAATAAATAAAAAAAATGACATAAACAGACCGAACATTTTTCTAACTGATTAAAAATGTATAAGTTATTTTTAATCTAAAATTTCGTGTTATTATCATCCACGTTAGTTTTAGTTGTCTCTATGCTCAGAGTGCACTGACTATGGACGTTCGCATTTTTACGTCCACGGATCGTCAATTGATTAATAGTCATTTGTGCAATGCACAAAATCAACGCAATTATGGGTAGTATCTTAAAAGTAGCTAGACTCCCCAAGTGTTTGAACATGTATCCGCCAACGATGCTTCCAATTGGTGTTCCTAAAACAAAAATATTATAATATTAACATCACAATACCACGCCATCTTTAAATGGCAAACCTATTCCACATATGGCTGTTCCGACGATTCCCTGGAGCGTTCCTTCGGACCCAGTGGGAGCTAAAATAGCCGCATACGAAATAGCAGTTGAGTACGACAGTCCGAACGTGAAGCCATTGATCACTTCGATAGGCAAAGCCCATACGGGGTTTCTGATAGTAGAATACAGGAAAAAATCCACGGAAAACAAGAAAAATGACAAGGAAAACACGGTCTTATGGTCCATATATCTTAGTATAATACCTGTATAATAATTACAACTGGCTTAAGTAATGTAAAATTATTTCGAACAAACTTCACGTCGTACTGGATAAAAAGAAAGACAGTACTTCTCCGCTAACACACCTCATTATCACGGACATTCCTTGGAGGGTTTTCATCCAAGATTTTTTTTCGGGATGAAATATAGTCGACAAATCTTCTAGATACCTATATTTATTTATATATTATAGTAGTTATAAATGAGCTATTTTAGTTTAAATTAAATATTACATATGATTGTTACTATGGCCTTGGCCAAAAAACATGTTTAACTCAAAAAAGTTTCGGATTGAATTTTTTTTATCTAGTTGGTGCATTCCGGAAGTTATTTTTTAAAATTCCTTTTACACGGTTTTTGTTCAATGTAAATCAATAAAATAATAATAACAATAAATACCAGTTCTGTACGAAATGTGTGGTACTTAGAAATTTAAAATTTCAAGCATGGGCAAGAGTCGAACAACATGGCGAAAAAGGAGTTTTAAATTTCAGTTTCAATTCGTGTAAAGTGAAAAGTGAAAAATAAAAACAGCATTTTATTGAAAAGGTTAGAAAAAAAACCAATGATTGTTTTACTATAGAAATGTTAAAATACCTACTCAATGTTTGTAACGCAGAAATAATGTCACGAGAACCATGTTTAAAATATTCCATTATTATTCTAAATGTATTATTATATTATTCGACGGTGCCGTTGTATAGTAAACCTAATAAATTATAGTCACTACGTACCGTTCGACCAGCGAATGCCACGAAATTAAGAGTACATTGTTTTTAACGAATAAACTGTAGCCAATTTTTCAGCAAAGAAGTTGTTTTTGTTTTTTTGTATAAGTAAAAGAAAATATAATTATATGTATAGGCAGGTATAATAATGAATGTATTTGCATTATTTGAGTAAAGCTTGGCATCTAGTTATAATATTACCACGTATAATTTTATATTTTATTTATTGCTCACCAAAACACAAAGTGCGTTATAAACGCCATTAAAAATCCAAACAAAACTGCCCAAAGTAAAAACGTTCTAACTTTCAATTTGGTGAGAATTTTTGTCAAATCAGAAGCTACATATTTGATACTACTATTTTGTATGACCTGTTGAAAAACAAAATATTATAACGTTTCATAAATAAATTCTTTTATACTTAGCTATAAGGTGCCATCTAAGTCTTTTGATGAGCCTTTATGAATTGTATATAATAGTTTTCATACTTGGGCGGTTCAAACATATTGTTTTAAATCGCTTAATTAATCACATACAATTTTAACGAAAACGATGTACCAGTTTTTTTTTAATTATTCAGAAAAAAGTGCGGTTAATTTTTTTTTTTTAATTTCACTTTGTGCGCAAATTAATTTTTCATCCAATATTTGATGTACAAGTATATGTACTTTATTATGACATAAAAATATTATTGATCAAACAAACAGTTAAAATACTTGAAAATTGAAAAAAAAAAAATTTTGATAAAATTGTACATACCTCAATATTCGATACGATAATTATATCGCAAAAAAAACACACTAATGAAATGGTAAAAGCGGGAGTATAGTTTTTGTACTCTTGTCCTTTACTGTACCAATCTACACAAGCACCGGAAATAATCGCAAAAATACCGAATCCGAGAGATCCCCACAATCTTTGTTTTCCATACAGATATTTGTTTACACCTTCGTAAAAAAAACAAAAACAAAACAAAACAATTTTTTGGTAAATTAGCCTCCTCTAGCCCTCCCCCCTATTTTCATTCATGCTACTCAATCGGCTTTCATAAAACATAAGGTGAATTATTTATTTACCTAACAAACTCGTGCATATTGTTTCCTCCATAACGTTCTTTATCGTATCGCACATGGCCATCAAAATGATAGCAGCGAAAAATAACCAAAACAGCGGTGACTTGACCACGTCCAAATCGTTTATTTCTGCTTTCGACGTAGTGCCAGGTATTATCGACAGTAACCATATTGATATAAATATTATTATTGTGCTCGAAATAAACGCCGATCGTCTACATTTGAATTTGTCTGTGATGACACCGATAACTGGCCTGATGAACAATCCCGGAATCGGTTGCACCATAAAGATCAAACCGACAATCACGGCCGAATATCCCCTTTGCTTTGCTATCGTTGCCATAAACGGCGAAAACGGTGCATAACCTGAATTGAAAGTAATAAATTGTTTTTTAAAAAAAAAAAAATTGTTTTGAAGGTTAAAACTCAGAAAAATTTTGAAAAATATACTTTAACTAGACAATTATTATAATTTTTCATTTTACTTTTGTTCGCAAGGTCTTTGAACCTAGCAGATCTTTTACGCATTATATACTTTGTTTAAAAATTTATATATTATAAAATATAATTTTAACATAAGTTTTATAAAAATTGTTCTATAGATCCACTAAATACCACTAGTAGAATACTTCACTAATGAATTAGTATGGTGGTGATAATGACAAAACATTTTAGTTATTTCAGTAGATTGTAATCTGTATTTTTGGTTTAAATTCACAAATTATTACTTTTAACTAATTTTAATAAACTTATAATAATACGAGGGAACTTTTAGCTAACAAACAAGAAATGCTTTTTATATTATTCTATCTCTTGTTTCTAGAAATTGAATTGAAAATTGAAACTTTATTGCAGACAAAATTAGAAATTATATTTCCCTCCGAATTTTAATCATCGTTGTCTTTAAAAAAAATTAGTTTTATAGATACTGAAAGTTGACTATTTATTTATCCAGTTTTTACTTTGAATCGACTTTCAAATGCAATAGTAATAGCTTTCAAATTCAATTTATCCACATATATATATTATTTTAGTTTACCGCATAAACAAAAATCTAACCAGATTTAAAAAAAAAAAAAACTATGTATATAAATAAAGGTGATAGTATAAACTATCTAACTAGGCATATTTTTTTTCCGTGGAAATTATCAGGTATGTTTAATTTTATTTTATGTGTAGTTTAAGGAACCTGCGCACATAATGGTATTAAGTGAAAATAATTATATATCCTTACCACCGATTCCTATAAAATAATGCATTTTCATCAGTAAAAGTTTCTTGTTGATTTCTAGAATAGTCATGATTAGGTAACAATACTGCCATATGATCGTTTTGATTTTATAAAATTATTTACCACTTAATGTACGTTAGACATTAGATATTAACTAACATTAGATACCTAATAAAACACAAAATAAAACGATCGTCTTGAACACGAATTGATAACATCATAGTTCAATATCATTCGATTTTTAACATTTCAACAAAATATAAACATTTCACCATATTTTATTTAGATATGCGTTTATGTGTACGTACACGACGGCACTGTCAAACGTGTAGTTGAGTAAATATAAAAACGGGGGGAACCGGGGAGGACAACCACACACGAGCTATTTTATTTACATAATCCATGCGTTTCATGTTTACAGAATGTACCTATTTATTTCACATTTATCTTCTAATTGACCTTAAAATTGTACACAATTTACAACAATTTACAGAAAATGTTTTTCTTTTTGCTAATTATTTTTAGTGTTCAATTCGACCCGCTCGGAATTTTGTACTAGTCTCTATTAAGGATAATAATGAATTTGAAAAAAATACAGCAGCACTTTATCATTTTACATCATTCTTATGAATAACTAGCTATCCCGACGTTGCCCGTGTCAATTTTTTATTATTTTTACTTTTATTCCAGTTATGCTTTGCCTGTATCAGTATATTGAACAAAAATATAGGTGGACAATGAGTGTTACCCGCACAGCACAAGGATTAAATTATATATCCATTATAATAACGCTAAAATTATGATAACATAATTGTACTGTAGTGTTTTACTGACCCAAAAAACTTCAACCTCAAAACTAATGTATATTTTCCAAGAATAGGCATTTAAAGGCATGTAAGGTAATACAAGAATGTTGAATAATTTGTTAACATAACTTGAAAATTTCGAATAAAGAATGTAGACATAGGTACCTGTTAAAAAAAACGGTTATCTTTCATATTTATATTTATAAATTAAAAATTGAAAAAAGATATACTGAATGTGTGTTACTTTATGAACCAACAAATATTAACAATTTATTACGTTTTATGATAATACCGTTTGACTATGAGCGTATAATTTGTACTGTTGGTATTATTTTATACTCTCATCTAAAATTGCTTTCTGGTAATATTGATATGCTGTATGCCGTCTAATAGTGAAAGTTCACAGTGCATTAAATAGAGATATTGTCGATAACTCCTTATCTAACTCCTCTTTAGTTTAGTAATTTTAATACGAAAAGTTTACGTTAGGGTTTCTAATTTTAGCCATCCTAACGGGTAATAAAATATATTTAATAATTTCAAACTACATACGCTCATGAATACACTATAAATTCTAATAAAAATCATATTGAACGCGCACACAATAATATTTCTTATACTATCGAAGTTTTCGTTGGTGATGCAAGTTTATTATTTTATTTATTTATTCGTATGACATGCATAACACAGTACAACAACATTAACGAGAGTATAGATAAATTGGATTAAAGTAAATAAAATAAAAATAAAAATAAGTAAGAACAAAATATAAATAAAAATATAAATGGAATAACAATACGTAATGGGGATTTTTCTTCACAAATCAATGTCCAATTTCTCCAACCAGGCCACCGCCTCCGGAGTCACTGTAATGAAGTCTTTCGGGTCTTCATCGTACTTCCTTAACGGGCATTCTTCGATTATGTGGCAGTTTATTATTAAAATTTAGAAACACTTAATTTTAAACGAAAATCATGTTATTTTTCTATCGAGGTTTCGGTCTAACAATCGCGAAATATTACGAAAACGAGATAAATACAAACATAATATTAATATTATAACTGTAGATAAAACGGACATTATTTGTCATGAATAATGTCCGTAATACGAATTATTAAACAGCATATTATAATAAAATATTTACCCTTTGTAATTTGTTTAACGGTCCAAAATTACTGTTCATTAGCAATGGTAAAATTATACAAACAATTCAATATTATACAAGAGGTTATAAAAAAAAAAAAAAAAACATATTCTGTAGATTTGTCTCCACGGTGTAGCTAATGTCGTCCATATTCATCGCTGATGAATCAGTATTTCATAAAAAGTCACGAGTACCTAACGAAAACGACTTACTTATTTTGTGATTTGTACCTATACTTCGAAGTAAGAAAACCGTACAAAAATAATCACGGCGAGAATATACTCGTGCAGATTGTCGTTTCCGTCAACAAGATCGATAATAATGGGTATTACATTTTTGTTCAAATAGGTTTTTATTCTTCTTCTTCTGCTTCTTCGCTTTCATCCTAACTATATGAGGTCGGTCTGGTATTATTATTTTAAAATTAAAAAATAAAAAGAACTATAGAAAAAAAAAAAAAAATAGGTATATCGGGAAATACGATAAAAAATAATGAAAATGTATTTTACAAAACAATAACATTATTAGTATCGAAATTAATTTATAATATATGACATAACGATACTATATTTAGTTTTTCATTGGCGCGTAGGGATTTAATAGGTAGGCACGAAACGTATACGTATTGGAGTTCAATGAGCCGTCACTAAACACATTAAACACCCGTAAATAATATAATGTATAGATATATTATGCGTAGCCGTTCAATTTCTTGTTTTGGAATTCTACTTAAACGTTAGACTAACCGTAACAAATAAAATCGTTCGACCAAAACTTTGTACGGATAGGTACGACGAAATCGTTTAACATAATAATATAATAAAACAATATCTAAGTAAAAATGTATGTTTTTAAATTTGTACTATTGCCAAATCTAAACGCTCGCTGATTATAAAGTTAGAATAACTAGTAACTTTTGTTAGTAACTTTAAACTTGATAAAATCAGTTGGTTTCTGTTTTCTGATTAACTTCGAAAGCGTTGTTAGTGGAAACCTAAAATACTCAAGTTTAAAAATAAAATGTAGGGAACTAGTTATTTTTCAGTTTTCATTACAGAAGGGGTATGTTCTTCATTCACGATATGTAAGTATTAAATATTATATTATGCTGTGATAATAATTAAATAATGTATTCATTATTTGGTTACCAATGAAAGGTAATAATGAAAACACTCGGTAAGGTCAGGTAAGAAAATACATTACAAAAAATAATATTCGGTTGAATTTTTAAATTAATCAGTTTTTTAGTTTTTGGTAGTAAAAAAAATGTTAAATGTGTTTATTAGGTTTACCTGTATGTGAAATCCGACTCAAACAAGTCGGACATTTTATACATTTAAAAAATCAACTTCCAATCTAATGTTTTTGTTTTTTTGAAAACTATACTTAAATATCATTAAGTTCAAACTTTTGAGTGACTTGTCCAGCATAAAGCCCCGAATCGTGTTTCTAAGTTGTAACCATCATATTTACTAGAATGTTTCGTTTGAACGCCGATTAATTTCCTGTATAGGTACTGATATTTATTACATTTCCATAATCGCATTTGTTAAGGAATAACATGTTTAACCTATTTGCATTAAAATGTAAGGTTCTTTAGCCGTATATTTTAGAAGGTATCATAATATCAATAAATGAAGACTACTGTTAAACTTTGATTTACTACTATTGAAAATATTTATTTAAAATTATGCGAGATTCATTTATATAATTATTAACACCAAATGAATGGGGAGGGCAGTAAAAAAATGCCATAGTTAAAAAACACAAATCATCATACCGTAGGTATACTTTACATTGATTTAGTACCAAGCTTACTCTAGTAATGTTTTTTCTTTTCGTATATTTTGAAGTACCTACTCCATTTTTTTTTTAATATCCATAATAAACAAATATAAATCATTAGTGTAAGTTCAAACTCTGGTACTGACAAAAAATAAAATAATAATAATAAACATTGTACTGTAACTAACTTTTTGTTTAAATTAGACAACATTAAACAATATAAATCAAATAACAAATTTTATACAGATTTCAAAAATACTATTGCTCTTATTACGAATATTTGTTATCGTCATAGTTATAATTTAAGGAAAAATAATTAAAAGCTTAAAAAAGACGAACATATTTCGCATGTTGGGTGGACTACTGTTGTAAGTGAATAGTCGGGAAGGTAGGATAAAGAGAGTAATTTAATTTATATTTATGAAAACCAATTTGAATATCATATTTGAAATTAAAGTTAAAATTTCATTTCAGAAAAGGTATTATACTTGAAAATTGGAGCAAGATTTCTGATAGAAAGGTTATTCAAAGACAAAAAAAAATAATAATAAATAAATATATATCATTGTAAAACCAATACATTACTCACTACGCTAGGAATCTAAAATCTGGTCAAAAATCAACAGTTATAAACACAAATAATACTAGATAATATTAAACTTTATTTCATACTATTATTTTAATTTCTCTGTTATCAAAATCAAAGGCTTCCAGCGTTTGCTTACCATACTACAATTTACCTATAGTCTGTTTGTGATATAGGGTTAGAAATATAAACTTGTATTATACTACGGGGTATTTCACTGAAGTTACGATTCGCATAGTAGCTAGAACTTAGAAATAACTTTATGTTTATAATAAACACCATGATAACCGTGAGAGAGGGTACAAATAAACCCCAAAGGGCAGAAACATAAACATATAGGTACTCCAATGATTAAACTGACTAATAAAAATAAAAATTCGGGTATACTTTGGTACACCATTTTTTAAACATTTTTTGATAAAATTAAATCGAAAATTGTATCAACTATAGAGATGGGCTAATCCCTAAACTAACTACACTCCAACTATTTGGAATAGGTCAATAAATATATAAAATATTCTTAGATAGGTTTGTATAACCACTAAGGTGGCTGCTAATATAACAGATGTTGTACAACACGTACGCACACACACACATACATACATACATACATACATACATACATACATATATATATTTAACTATGCTACTGTGACTTTTATATAATCTTGCTACGACAAACAAAAATAGTCCCTGATTCCATAATATTCTAAAACTTTTGTACTTTTAAAATGAATAATTTAAAAAAAAAAAATCTTGAAACTAATTATTTTTTTATTTTATTTTATTTTTAACATTTTCGTAAAAGCTGCAATAACAAACCATATTAAAATTTCCTAATGATATTATCTACTTCAATACGATTTTTTGTTTCAACCGTATTATTAGTAGTCCCCCGAAGCAATTGTCGATTAATGATTGTTTGCAGAATACAAGCGATCAACGGAATAGCGGGTAACAGTTTGACGGACGCTATACTTCCCATATTCTTGAAAAGATAACCGTGAAAGATACTCCCGATAGGTGATCCTGAAACGAATATATATATACATTTAAATATATTGCAATTGCCGTGTGAAATTGTTATCATTCATTATTGGATACCAATTCCGTCTATGGCCATCCCCGCGATTCCCTGGAGCGATCCTTCGGCCCCGACGGGAGACAGCATAGCGGCATACGAAATAGCAGTAGAGTACGATAGTCCCCACGTGAAGCCGTTAATCACTTCGATGGGCAGAGCCCATACGGGATTCCTGATGACGGAATACAGGAAAAAATCCACGAAAAACAAGAAAAACGTTAAGGAGAACACGTTCGTATGGTCCAAATGCCTCAATATAACACCTATATTATACGAGGAACACCGGTATCGGTTGAAATCGGTTTTACATTATTGTATTTCAAATAAACTTATTATCACTTACTGGATAAAAATAAAGACAGGACTTCGCCGCTTACGCATCGCATAATTACCGATAGACCTTGGAGAGTTTTCATCCACGAATTCGTTTCCGGGTGATACAGTGACGATAAATCTTCGAGGTACCTGTTTCATTTATAGGTTTTAAACTAATTACTCTATAAACGTTTTACCGAATTATTTTCGTCGAATATTTAAATTTTTATTAAAATATCATTAATAATTAGTACTAACTTTCATGATCTAAAACGATAATTATAAATATTTTAGTATAATATAATATCAATAATTACGAAATATTCATTATTTTATTAATTTTGAGTTAAACTTTTTAGCGTTAATTTTATATTATAAAGACTTCATTAACCATGCCTTAATGAAAAACAAAATTATTGTGGCTGAAAAAAAATGGAGAATAATTCGCAACCAATTTATTCGAATTTCAATGAAAAAAACGGTTTTATCGTTTTACATTATTGAAAGGACCTGCAGTGAGAATTATTTAGCGTTTAACTAACAATTTTATAATTTTTTACACAAAATTAAATGTCACGGACCATATGAAATCGGTCGTTGTTCTAAGCTTATCGGTATAATAATATTTTCCAGTACTGCATGCTAAATTTCAGTATTTTTACTAAAGTATCGATCGAGCACAATATATGTCAAATTAGGATTTACCATTTTATTTGAAACTGAAGTAAATTCGTATAATATTTTGACTTTGTATAGATGCTCACCAAAATACAAAGTTCCATATGAATGACATAAAAAATCCAAACATCACGGCCCATAGCAGAAACGCTTTGACTGTAGTTTTAGTAAAAATTTTTCTCAAATCGGAAATTACGATTTTGATATTACTGTCTTGTACGACCTATGGAAAAACAAAATAATACATATACCTAAGATCTTTAATAATAAACACGTAATAACTATCAGAATTCATGGTATATATTGACTTTAATTTTGGAATTTATATGAAGTATATTTAAATTAACAAAATCAAATTAATTTTTAAATTGGAAGACTTAAAGCTCATTCATGTACAAATTTATTTATTTTAAACAATAAAATAATGAGCATAAATTTAAATCCTTCATATTCAAATAACACTAAATTCATTTTCCCATATTTTATGTAATGTAGATATTTTTAACTTTATCGATAAGAGTTTATAATTTCACATCATCGGTATACTATTATTTTCAGTAGCAATACTGAATTAGTTAGTCTAATTACATACTTAAAAGTATTGAAACAAAAGCAATTTAAAAATTTAATCAAACAAATAATAATAATAATAATAATAATTTGACGAAACAAATAAATAACTATAAATTTCAATTTGAAAAAAAGAGCTGATACTGGGGATAGGAGCGGCCACTAATGCAGGTGAGAAGTTGGGAAGGTAGGATACATAAGATTATTTAATTTATATCTGTAAGCAACGATAAACCATTGCTTGACGAAAGACGATTCCGAGAGCAGTTCGGTAATACAAAATTTGAAGAGCCGTTATTTTTTGTTTGCGATTTTTGTTTGAATTTGATCCGATGATTTTTGAAATTTTACCACATCTAGGTAAATCCAATATAAGTATTATTTCCAAAACTAGAAGAATGAAGAAAGAAAAAAAAACATTTTAGTAAAACCAATAGCTCCTTAGCTACACTCAGAATCGAAAATGTGGGTTAATCATTTTTATTTTTGTAAATTGAAAACTTAATTGATGAAAAAAATAAACGAGCACATAAATAATATAAATTACAAAAAGGATTTATAATTATGAGCCGTTGTTTTTTTTTGGTCAAAATATGTTCTGTGTACTTAATAAAACAATATGATTTGTATATTCAAAATAAGTAATTAATTTGAATTCATATATTCTGTAATAAATACAAATTTGTACAACGATTAAAAAAAATTCGTGTATGGTTTTTAATATAACCGCATATTTTGAATCACATGTTATTAATTATATAATATCTAATTTAAAGACAATATATTTTTAAATCTGTCAAAATGTTTACATTTGTGTGAAAATCAATTTGATAATCCTAGTATAATATATTTGTCTGTAATTTAATTTATTTAGCGATAAATGAAAAGAAAAAAAATCAGAATTATATTAAGTTAGTACATATAGTTAACTTTATTTTAACACTGATATAGATCAATACAATTTGAATTCGATATGTGGTGTTTAGTTATTAGAATGATATCTTGATAAATTCGTATATACTCACCTCGATGTTCGATACGATAATTATGTCGCAAAAAAAACACACCAACGAAATGGCAAAAGCGGGAGTATAGTTTTTGTATTCTTGTCCTTTGCTAAACCAATCTACGCACGCACCGGAAACGATCGCAAAAATACCAAATCCGAGAGATCCCCATAATCTTTGTTTTCCATATAGATATTTGTTTACACCTTATTGAAAAGTTAAAAAAAAAAACAAATACCAACAGTAAACAAACCCGTGTGCCTTTAATAACATTATTTGTGTGTTCAATACAGATAATATTATTATAAAACAAAAAATCTTGAAACGAGTAATTGCAAATTATAATAATTATTATTATTCCAAAATTTTAGGTAAGCAATAGCAATAATAATGATTACAGTTAATAATTATGATATTATTGTTTAAAATTCGTGTAATATATAACTTAATAACCGTGTTTGAGTCTTAAATATTTTTATTATACGTGAAATTATTATTTTGTTTAAGTAATTATTGTTTGTCCCTTGTGTCAGTATAGTCCGTGACGGGTTACCTTGGCATCTTAGCATAATAAAAGAATACGTATATTTTTTTCTGAAGTGACGAAATCAAAGCCACCATCAACATAATTATACTTAATTACTTACTCGGAGTAACACATTAGATCTAAGACGCATTATGATTTATTTGATTTTATTCGAATGGAAATATTCTATAATTCAGTTTTGCAATCATTAAAACTCGTTCTCGAATAATTGTATTTTGAAATTTTTTTCAATTTTGTAGTATCTTCACTTTATTGTAGTTGTAATAAAAATATAAATTGTACAAGTAATATTGGTTACTTTAATGATTTATCGTCTTAGGTTCATCCCTTCAACTGTTTAATAAATGTTTGTATATATTTTTAAACACCTATACAAAATTATCAATTCTCGATAAGAAATACTTTATTTCAGAAAGTATTAACTTGTTTTGGACAATTTATGAAAGAAGATGCTTAAAAGTGGAATATCAAAATTAAATGAAATTCAACGGAAACTCAAACTAAAACTTCATTCATTTATGGAATTTAATATGGATTTATATTTGGAAATCAAAAATGGGTAGTGGTTTCACCCTTCTGAAATTAATAGTGGATAAAAATAATGATAATTTAACATATTAGAACTGATTGTTTTTTAGATTGATCAAAAAAAAATGAATACTTTTTCCCGAAATAATACTCATGTGTTGTCGAGGATCACCCGCAATATGTGCACAGTTAGGTTATTCGATTAATATTCGAAATGTACTTTTAAAACGTACAATTATAACAACTTTTTCAGAAAATTCGTCTTAAAATGTTAAAATTATAATATAGGTGTAATATATAAAACTGTTAATTTTTCGATAAATTTCAATATTTATTACCACGTACTTAGAGGTTTTAAAAAGCTGTGAATGCTATTAATGAGTACTAAAACATTTTCACGTTAGTCAGTGACTCTGTGGTTTTTAGTTATCCCGACAAATATCATTCTATAAAACATTTTAATTATTATACAAGTACATCATTATTTTATTTACCCAATAAAGTCGTGCAGATCGTTTCTTCCATAACATTTTTAATCGTGTCAAAAATGGACATTGTAAGAATCGCGCCGAAGAATAACCAAAACAACGGTGACCTGATCACGTCGTAATCGTCCATTTCTCCTTTTGACGTCGTACCCGGTATTATCGAAAACAACCATACTAGCGTGAATATAATTAACGAACTTAAAATGAACGCCACCCGACGACATTTGTATTTATCTGTGATGACGCCTATAACCGGCCGGATAAACAATCCTGGGATTGGTTGTACCATAAAAATGAAACCGACAATCACAGCTGAATAGCCCCTTTGCTTGGCTATTGTCGCCATGAACGGAGAAAACGGCGCGTACCCTAAATTATAAATAAAATGCAATCAAATAAACAAACAATACCAAAACCATCCTCCCAATGTAACGACTTAACCGACTAGATAAAATTCACAACCAGAAACAATCTCTGATGATGATGTTGAGCCAGTCGAAAACTTGTTTACAGACACAAAAAAATATTGGCATATCATAATAAAATAAATGCATTTTTCGCTTCGCTTAGAATCTAAAACGAAAAAACTCGACCGATTAAATTAGCTTTATAAGTAAGTATACTCGGGATTTGTTGCATTTGAAAATCACAAGAATCGCTTAAAAATCAAAAAAGCAACAGAAAATTACATTAAAAGTATTTAAAAAGAAAGCAAAAATGCTAGAAATGTAAAAAGTCCCACCTTCTGACGAATCTTTTTTATTAAATACAATTTTAAAAAACTGTCTTAGGATAATGGAGACGGGTACAGCCACTGTTATAGCTAATGTACACCTGTAAATAACGATAAACCATTTCTAACGAAAAAACCATTCTGAGCGGAGTTTATTTCATAGTGATGCTTTATCAACAATATATATTATGGTAAAATAATTAAATAGGTTCTATATATTTTCTTTAATAATATTTATTTAATGTACCGATTTTCCCGTTTTCTCCAGTTTCCCCATGATTTTTCCCGGTTATTTAATAAAACGCTTAGAAAATCGAAAAATGATTTTCTTAAAGTACCTCCCTACACTGATTTTCTTTCATAAAAGGTGCTACAAATCGGAGCAAGATCTCTGGTAGAAAAGTTGTCCACAGAAAAGAAAACTACAAAAATTCAAAGTAATTTTTGTTATAATATGTACAATTTTATGAAAAAATTCCTTCTAGGTATCATTTTTGTAATGTTAGAAAATTTAATTTAACAAGTTAACAGTCATTAGAGGATTTTAATCTCTTCAACCATTATTGCTTTTTTAAATATTTTGAAGTGCTTTCTTATAGCATTTTGACGTTTTAAGGGCTTTTATTTATAAATTTTAAGTGCCAAATAAATCAGAAAGTGTCAAAATATTTCGAAAATTTATCCGTGTTTTGAAAATACTAAATTTATAATGCTTTGAAAATTATCTCCTCAACACAATAATAAGATTCTATAAAAATATGTAGATTGCAATAAGTATTCTGGTTGAAAACTCGTTTGCAGTCCCTCATAAACTAAAATATTTCACAAATAGCGCAGTAAAATCAATTCAACAATACCTTACTCACATTTCTCAAAATCTCTAAACAATTACTTAATACCCAATCCAAAATAAAGAAATAAAAAATACTTCAAGTGCTATATTTTTCGTATACGGTAATATATTTAGGTATACTTACCGCCGATCCCTATAAAATAATGCAGTTTCATCAGTAGCAGTTTTCTGTTAATCTGAATGATAGTCATGACTTGTTATTATTGTAAAAATATTTAATAATTATGATCACTTTAACGGTTTAGGAAATAAAGAAATATAGAAGTCGATTTTTTATTATTATTATTAATAAAACAACAGTTGTCCGTCCTACACTTTTCTACAGATAACATCGTATTCGTTGTTTAATAGTCTGACTAAAAACATTAAACGAGTATACAATCATTTTACCATATTTTAGATACGTTTACGTAGGCACGCATATAATATGTGATGATCATACTTCTACGCGAGTATGCGCAGTTTAGTAAAAAAAATATACGGAACAAAAAACTGAATATCGTATTATTTACATAGACCGTAATTTTGTATACTTGCGCACAATACGTTTGTTTTAAAAAATCTGTCCTATTGAAAGTACCTATATACAAACCTCTTATTACAATATTTTATATATATATAACAATGAATATAGTTTTAAGGTTAGGTTTTTCTATATTTTTTTTTCAAATATCTAGAGATTTAAATTCTATAATTATCTGAAGATGTCAAAAGTATTCCAAATTAAATCCATTATCGTCTCGTATATTATTTCCCATTATCATACAACGTTAACTGGTTCTAAAAACATCAATTTGAATAAAATATTTTTTATTTGGTTTTCATAATTTAATTTTAGGTTAAAATCAAATGAGCTGTAGTATATTTTGTTTCAGAACAAAAATCAAAGCAAAATCAAAAGTTATACTTTGTACATAATATATACAAATGTAAGTAGGTTACTTAGGTACTTAGAAAAATAATTGTGTATTATTTATTTTTTATTTTTTAGTTTAAATATACAATCTACACAAATTATATTAAAAATAACGTCATTACAATACATAAATACTATATAATTTACAGTTTGAAAAAATTTTAAGAGTAAATTATTATGAACGAAATTTCTCTATTGGTATTTGAATACGACTTCCCTGTGAAAAAAAACAAATTGTATTCGTATACCTATAGTTTTTTCTTCCATAAATTCGATTTAAAAATGTAAATTTTCAAAAATACTTTCATACGCACACGTCTTGATTGTGTGTACCGTAAATTCTAAAGTGTACGTTCGGAAGTTTCTCCGACGGATCTATAATATTGCCGTTATATTTTTCCGACTTTCCGTGCAATGTAACTATAGTTATTGGATCTGACGTACGTTCGCTGTCAAATTTTTTCTTATTTGTTTTCTTAGACTCCATGTATTTTTTGTCCATTTCTCTGTTAATTAAGTTTACTATTAATTGCATTGTCAAATAAAATATATTATTAAAAAAAAAAATTGAATATTATTGTAGTAGGTCACCTGTAACGCTTTAATGATAATTTATCGTCGACGTTTGAGTGCTTTGGAGCAATAGTTTCAATAACCACTCGTTCACATTCGTCATTATCGTGATTTTCGTTCGTTTCTTTCTCTAAATTATTGTCGGATTTCTAAATACAAAATTATGATTTAAAAACGATAGGAATGTACTAATAAAAGTAAACGCACGTAGGTATATTTTGTTTTCTAAATTAAATATTGACTTTGTAAAATATTATCAATATCAAATTGTTGATACACTGACATTTTTCTAAATTAATAATTGGTTTTATTTTCAATCCACTTAAAAATAAATCGAACCAAAAAACCCGAACATACTTCTTACGCCACTGCAGGAAGTCACGAAATTGTAAGATATAATGATAATTTAGTACACATACTAAAGTTTGAAAGCGATGATAAATCATTGTAACCATGTTGACCATTCTGAACAGAGCTCGGTGAATTAGTAGTATAGTATTAATCATAGTTTCTTCTCTATGGATTCTATATATTATAGCCAAAATCAAAAAAAAAAAAACCAATGTAACGTCATTTAATTTCGGTTTTTTTAACTTTTAAGAAAAAACTACTGAGAATCTGGGAAAATTGTTTTAATAAAGTACCATCAGTCAAAAAATGTGCACCTTTTAAGGTATGATGTAAACAATTTGAAGCATTTTTACTAAGCAAAAGAGTGTTTTCCGAACAAAAAAAACACTTATCTCAGTAAAATTATAACTTTTACGCTACACTTATAATTAAATATAATGTTTAGGTAAAATACAAAATAATGTTACGAAAAATGATTGTATCTAAAAATGAAATTTAAAAAAAAATCAGTGAAAAACTCGTACATTTCAAGTAATATACGTCGAAATTATTGTATAAAAATTATGAATTAAAAAAAATTATACACACCATTGGAGTGTTATAGGTACCTACTCTAGTGTTAGTCTTTTAACGATTGTAAGTCATTATTTTTATTTATACGATATTTTAATATTTCGTATAAGGTTTTGTATTTAGTTTTGTTTTATAATAAATATTCAACACCTACAACAAATAAGATCTTACCTTCCCTACGATTTTTGCGTCTCCGTCCGCACTACTCTCTGAATATTTTTTTATCACGTCATAATTATTTGGATTGCAGTCAAATTGTACAACGTTTTTCTTTTCATTTTTCCATTTCATTATGGCCTCCTTCTGTCTGGTTTTGAGCTCTTCAAATTTCACGAACCAGTTTTCGTGTTCACGGGCTGCGTCCTCAGTAATATCTGTCTTTTTTATATTATAATCAGTTATTCGAAAATCATAATAACAATTCACAGACTGTATTTTTAAATACACAAATTTAATCTGACTAAAAAGATATGAATTATTTTTTTGGGTTAATCTGAAAATAAGAATACTATATCCAGTGTGCTTACATACAATATGATAATTAATATTGTTGTGAATACAATAGTGTGTATATGAAATAAATACAAATATAGTTTGAGCCACGTTTTATCTTTGTTTTCAATGTTTTATTTAATTTCCAGACAGTTAAATTACAACGACCGATTAAAATCAAAATATACAAATGAGTAATTACTACATAATATGTACAACCTTGTTGTTTTACCAGTTCGAAAGTTGTATATTTTTAATTAGGTGAAATAATATCGGTGTTATCTATTCCTATTACCTACTATAGTATATGATTATGAAATTTGACACGATTCACGGATGGAGAGTCGTGGATAGATAAAAAAAAAAACAGAAATCTCGAAGATGTTACGATATCATACGTATCTACGTGCAATATTGATAAAACATCTAAAACTACATTTTGAAGTTATTTTCCCAAGCAAATATTACACAACAATTGAATTAACAGTGTATAGATGTTTTTAACGGTGTTCACTACTGTATTTACCTATACAGTTTTGAGTAAAGAAAGGAAGCTTTGTATGTAACGAGGCAAATATTTTAAAAATTACAAAAAGGCTGTATGTTAATATTCACACGGAGAGACAAATATAATAGAAAGCGAGGGGGCTTTAGTGTTGTTATCGTTAATTATTATTATTTTCGGCTTTAGACTACAGTTATCAGTAATTATTTTGAACATGTTATTTTGTATACCTATACATATTTTTTAAAAACCGATATTATTATATTTTTAGAGAAATTCGTTATGAAATTGTTGAAGATAGAATTTTTTTTTTTTTTAATTTATTAGGTATATTTATTCGTAATAAGACAATAATTGTAGACTAAATAGCATCTCGTCCGGCAAACAGTCACTAACTTTCGTTGGGTTTTCTTCACATGTTGGCTTAAAGAAACACATTTATACTATTATATTTTTGATGAAACCATATTGTACAATGTGTCTTGTCTACAAGCTAATACCGAAATAGCCCCCAATAAAGCACCACGAAACCTGCCTTTTAGTATTATTAGTTATTAATATTATAATATATAATATAATATTATTAATAAAACGTAAGTATACACAGAATACAAAGGACGAAGTATACACAATAATAATTTAATATTATTTCCACAAGTTTTTTATGTGAGACTTCGAAACGGCCGAAAACCTTTTGAAAAATCTTGTGATAATCGACATTTTTATTGGCTCGTCCAATGTATTATTTTTAATCGATCAACAATATAATTGATGAACGTTGTTAAATTATATTAGTTAAATATTATCTGCATTAAACTTTACGTGGCATCGCTTGTACAACGTGATCTATGAAATTTACACCGTCCGCGTAATGCTTGGAACGTATCTTCAGAAACGTCTCGTGATCTTTGCTGGTCCAACCTCCAGTAAGACCGTAATTACGTGAACAAAATCCATGAAAATCCGCTATTTCCTAGACGAAACGTGTAACATTGGATTGACTTGATATATCTTTGGTTCCGGGAAAGAACAGCTTAAGTCGATTTTGTAATGTTTTCAATACAACCGAATTATACTTTAAAAATTGCTAAATTATAGCTAAATTACTATTATATGATATATATATATATATATCATATGATCAGATGATCAAACCCTAATGCAAGCGTTTTAAGTGGCTTAAATCATATAATTATATAACTTATACCTTTTTTGCCAAATAAAAGTACAGCATAGTGACTTAAGCTATTTTAATTTTCAGTACTCTATGTGTTTAAATATACGTACACTATTACATCATTTAGACAAAAATATAAAGGGAAACAAATTGTATAAGACAATTATAAAAAAAAAAAGTGCCGAAAATTGACTTAAGCCCTCTTTTCTTGAGATCAAAGATATAATATTGTGTATTTTGTATTTTCACCTTCGAACAGTATGTATTTTTCGAAATGGGAACTCTTTTAACGATTTTCGACTCCTTGTTTTTTTTACCGATAGTGACATTGTGCGACTTGGAACCCTCGTCGTGTAATGTCAATTTTTTCACTCGGTCGATTTCTTCGATCAGAGCGGATTGCTTATGGTTCTCTTCTCGTAACCTTGGACAGAACAACTTATTATATATAGATTTCAATAGAAATATACCGGAACCCCTCAATATAATTATTAATTTATTATACATACGCAATCTAATTCAATTTCACTCACTTTTTCGTACTTCCTTCTTTTAATTTCGTCAACTTTGACTCAAACGTCTTAATGTCCTTTCGAAAATTTTCAAACCCTAAAATACACATTTTCCTGGTATTTATTATAGAAACGAATATTAATTTATATAATATATATTATATTTATTTATGACATTAAAATGTTTATCAATAATTGATAATGATAAGCACTGTATGCATTTAAAGTATATGGATAATGGATGTGTATGCATAGTGGTGTAGGTTAAATCCCTCCAAATTTTGATGAATATTTTAGACGGGAATATATTTCAATTATTTCATAATTCATGGTCAATCTATGATAATATCTGTAGGACTATATTGCCTGAACAACCCTCCATCCACAAAAAAAAATCCGAAATACATCACTATAATTTTAACTTATATCAATTTCAATATTGAAACATTATAATTACACTATTAGTAAAAATACGTTCGACTCCAGTACTTGTTCTGCAGTTGTCAACATGTATCGATCGAAACTTTTGTACATAAAACTATTATTTTTTTTAGATTTTCCAACTGTAACTTGTAGTAAAAGTCAATAATTAAAAAAAAAAAAAAAAACTATCGCAGAAAATACTAAAATCGCGTTTAAGTTTCCAAACATTCGCTTGCTAGTTTGCTTGTAGAACATAATATCACGAAAAAGCTATTATATTGCTATCGAATAAAATGCGCGTGTATAGTGAATATATTATATATGTGTATTATGTATATACCTATGACTAGTCATATTTTACTATATTTACCAACCCGAATACTTATAACTTTAGTCCCAGTTATTAGTACATCATTGCAAAAGTTCTCTGTGTTTTTGTGATCTTTTAATTAGTATACATATTATAACATTGTTATAAATTATTGTGAAACAACCAACATTAAAAATTAAAAAAAAAAAAACAACGCATTTAAAGCTAATTGCAAAGAAGGAAACCGTTTTAAATGTTATTTAGGCGCCAAATAAAAGTCTGGCGATATGAAGTAAACTCAAGTACACTTCAAATTAGTAGATCTCAATTATAACAGACATTTCAGTGTAGGTGCGCATTATCATACGAAGTTCAAGTTTGACTAAGAACAATTTTCCAACACGATAAACTATAGTCCTAAACCAATTAAATTGTACGTATATCATAATTATATAGGTATTTTTAAATATTTCAATATAAAACTGTTTATTTAACTGTTCAATTTTTCTTTTTCTTTTTTTATTAATAATCCTGTAATCAGTTAATTGGAAGAAATTTCACTTTTATATTACAAAAGCAAACGTCTAATCTAATCAAGTTTGGCGTATAGCACATGATGTAATTCACAGATGTGGAAAATTAAATAACTTAATAAATTAAATTAAAATTGGATTATAATGTATCTCGCTGACTTTAAATCTCGACGAAAATACGGTTAAATTATGCTTTTTATCGAATTATCCGTTACTTACCTACTTAAAGTTTACGGTACTTTCATTTTGGTTAAAACAAACTCCTGAAACTCCCGTAAAAAATAGAATTATTAAACAGACGCAAGTATATACGTAAATATTTGTAACAAATAGCATTGGGTGATTTAAATATTTTTTTTTTTAACAATAATACAAAATATTTTCATATAAATTGATCTCAAACACATTGATATTATTAGTAAGATTATAGTTAGGTTTGGTTGTAATACTTTAATAACTAGAGTATGGATTTCAAAGGAATTTGCTATTTATGTCTACTAGTTGGAAAAGACACTGTAACAGCTATGCGAACATAATATGATTTATGTCATGTACAAAATAAATATAAGTGCATAATTTGTATTTTGCTTATTCGGATTCCATATTTTTTTATAATTTGTAATGCTTCAGAAGAGTCACGCGGAAAGAATAAGATCTCTCTGAAATCTTAGTGTACCTATTAGTTATCAAAAATCAAACAACAACCTATTTCATAGGTTTTTTCAGAATATTATTAGGTACGTTTGCTTTATACTAAACTAATTTGCCTATAAATACTCATTTTTGCACGTTTATAGTGTTCTCGAAAAAATAAATGCTATTATAATGTATTAATTTTTTATCGCGCCTAGTAACATGATATTATAACACTATTATTATACATATCTACAGGATTTATAAACTATAATACGTACCTACGGCTTTAATTTTGTTTACGTCGGATGCCGTCTTTTTCAAATATGATAGTTTGTTTTTCATTTCTTGTATAGTACTGGCCAACTGATTCAAATCGGCGTGTCTGCGACGCGTTTAAAAAAATGTATAGATAATAACGAAGTCGTAATGTAATATGCGATCGGAACGTATTTCTATTAGGTACCTACCTATAGATAGATATTTACGTCAAATATTTTATATTCTTACCTGGCTACGTCTAGCTCTTGTTTGTACTTTAACATGTTCCTAGACGTGGGCCATACTTTGGGTTTCAAATGGTTTCTGAGGATCTGCCAATGGGCAGCGTCCACGGCCCGGTCTTCGGACCAAGACATAATAATATTAATTATAATGTTCTTTCCGCTGACCTCAAAACTTTAGAATGCAATATTTTATTGGTAATGAAAAAAAAAAAACAAAACATAAAAAACCGAAAATCGTGCACATTTGTGTATTCTTATACACACATAAAATAAAGAATAAATATTATTTAACTGTCGTTTTACGGAGACGGTATCGTTGTAGACGATTTTTCGTCTATACAACAGAAAGAGCCGCGCGTTTGAAATACAAACACACGAACGCACCACCTGCAGCTGATTTCGGTTGCCGGGTAACATTGGAAACGTCCAAAACAACATAATAATATTCAAACCCGTAAACTAAATATTATTATACTCCCGGCCGACTTCTACACATTAATACCACTTTGTTCGCGGCTGTTATTATTTCCGATACGTATTAACATACGTCTTGTGCATGCATGTATATATCTACAGGGTGCGAGTATATTAACGCGAACCAGCGTTTATCTAAACGAAAATGTCCACAATAAATGTCATTATTCAGTTTGTGTTGAACCGTTTTACAATAATAATTGTATTAGTACAATATTTTTTTCGCCTTCGACTCCGTTCCAACTATTCGAGGTCGGCCTGTCGTATTAGAACAATGTTTTCAAAATTTCACCCTTATTTCGTACATCATAAATAGTAATGACGTGAATGAGTATCCTATGAAGCAGCTGTTTCATGACCGTGTGTGTCACTTTATCATGAGATATGTCAACGAAAATTATAGAAATTACAGGAACATCTAGTGGTAGCATTAGTTACAGCTCCCGACTCATCTGGGGCTTGGATTGAATGAAGTTTTTGTTTATAATTTTTTTGAAACTGGTGCTTCGTAAAAGAAAAATCTTCACACCGCCACCAAATACACATAAAAACATAATAATATGTATCTAGTATGGATTTTCAAATACCGATTCATATTTTTCAACTCCGATTCAAAACGAGAAATATTAAAAGTCACCCTGTATTATTGTATTTTGTGCACGCCACCGTAAATGGTTTTCGTTGTTGACATGGTTTCGTAAGTAGGTAATACGGATAATAATAATATTGTAAAATCTATGTACCGCTTTGTGCCATCATATTATCCAATACTTCATATTGCGAAAACGACAAACAAATTATTATTATGACAAAGCTGTATAATTGTAGACAATTGATTTTTTTATTTTATTTTTGTTTATTATAAGACATACCTACCTGCTATCCTATTAAAATGTGCTAGTATTATAATGTAAAAAATAAAAAAAATGAAACCAAATTTGAAACTTATTTTGCTATTTACAATTAGGTATAAGTATAATCAAGAAGTTATGAATACAAATAAATTACTTCGAAATAATTTAAGAAGTTCGTCAGTTTTAAAAGACGGTCTGTACACAAAGTTTCTTATCAGTTATTAATAATAATAATATTATAGTAGGTATTATCTTCTTTGTATTTGCACATGCTGGTGGCGATACGAGACAGTGATTGATATGCACTTTGACATGCGCTACACGACCAATATTACGGTTTGAACTTTAAATTAAACTTGCCGAGCGAAGTGAAAAGTCAATACACTTAGCGATAGTATCGAGTTTCAGAAAACTTCAGATTTCATAACTTAGCCGTCGTAAAGTTGTACGAAAAAAAAATGATACGCACTCTAGGTACGCCATTACCACGATACGAAATACTGCAATAACTTTTGTCTCGTACAGAATATTATTATATTATGTATATTTTTTTTTTCATTTTTTATTTTTACACCTCTGCAGATGTAGTACCTTAGTTACTGTGATATTTTACGTAAATATTTAACATTTTTTTTTTTTAGAAAATGTATTACCTAATGTGTTATACGAATTTAAAATACGTAGGTAGGTAGACTGCACACAAAGAAATTGACGATTTATCAAAAACAAACTTAAATAGATACGGACACACTTCATGTGGAGTAGAAGCTTAGTGCTCAGCTGAACGTTTTGGGGAGCTCAGTTTCAAAAATATTATAAGGCCTCTGGCCTTCATATTTGCGTATTTTTATTAAATAAGGATATAATATTATTTTAAATTATCTTTCGTACATTATTTAAATCAATAATCTGCGAAAGTCATTATAATAAAAACTGTAGTGTTAGGTTTCGTGGTATATATATATGTGTATATTTTTTTTTTTTTTTTGAACATTATTAGGTATCGTATTATATACTTAACAATAAACAAAACTTGTTTTCAAAACGGGCGAATACAGATCGGTGTCGATCACGTGCTGCAGCGTGAAAAACAGCACCATGATGCGGTTTTCTCCGGGCGATAATGATTTTCAATGGTGGTACCCATGGTCGTAAATAGACGACGATTGGTACGAGTGAGTAGGTGACTCGAAATGATGATGGTAGTCCGAGTCTCCGTGACCATGGGCTTCACCGTGTCCATGGGATTCAACGTGTCCGTGGGTTTCAACGTGCACATGGGCTTCACCGTGTCCATGGGCTTCACCGTGTCCATGGGTTTCACTGTGTCCATGGACTTCACCGTGACCATAGGCTTCACCGTGGTAATGTGACGGTTCGATTTTCTTGACCACCGCTTTGAAACCGTGTTTGCTGTCCGCTGTGTACTCGACCACCCGAGTGGAACCGTCGGGCTCTACCAGACTGTACGAACCCTTGACGTTGCCGTGTCCATCACTGGTCTCGTGTTGGCTCTTGACGTCGTGCGTGTGCGGGTCTTTGACGCCGTACTCGAATTGGTACGGAGTGGCCGCGTGATGATCATGGACATCGTCGTAGCCGCTGTGTTCGGCGACGGGGTGATCGTATTGTTTGGTTTCGTAAAACGTGTTGAACTGTTTCGGGTAAGCGAACACCGAACATCCGAACAAGGCGGTAAACACGACCAACTGAAACGTTATTGTTCTTTCGATAAAAGTCGTTTGCCGATGGGCTATCCGGCGAAACTTTGCGAATCAATTTCACCAAATTTTACAAGAAAAGCAAAAAAACTATGGTGGATTCTAACATGTAGAATTTCGACTAACGAGGTTTTTTCCGGGTAGCTAACAGTATACGAGAAGGCACTGGAAAGTCAGGCGAAATGAAAAGAAATTTAATTCGTTTATTTATAGGTTTATTCGAATATTACTGCCATTTTTTGCTATTTCAATATAGAACGGACGATAAGCATAGGCAAAGTTGAAAAAAAATAGTTTAAAATGTATAAAAAGAAAAAAAAAACTTTTTCGTTTTAATTATAAATAAATGTATATATTTTAAACATTTTTTTTTTTTTTTTGGAAATCATATCGTTTTATAATAATAATTTATTATAAAATAAAATATCATCATAATTATTTAAAAACTAAATAACAATTGAAGAAATATTACTTCTTTTTACAAAAGTTATAGGAACTGTTTATTTTGATTTAAATTTTAAAAATTAATACGAACTTTATAAATATGTTCACTCTCAGAACATATTTGTAAATTTCAATTGGATTTTTAACGTTTAATACACTGAGACTTATTTTGAAAACACTTCGCAACCCTGGGTGTAGTTGTGTATCGTGTATTATACGAATAATAATATAAAATATAAAATATCTAAAATTCAGGCGCTACTGGTATATTTTTTTCTATTCCTATATACACGAGAGTATATAATAAAATTTAAAAATATATAACATATAATAATCTTACCTTTGAAAACATTTTCGATGCGTTGTATAGGTAAACACTTGTGCGAGATTTGTTTTCGCAAAGAACGAGTAAATCACTGTGATAAACATTTGAACGGCGTTCGCAGTATTTATACCGAATCTTACGAATCCCCCCGAAATTAGATTGTTCGTCTGGACGTCTTGTAATACGGTGATCAGTGCAAGCAGAAACACAAAGACTCATTAAAATTAAAACACAAAAACACGAAACACTATCGTTTCATTTTAATTAATACAAATATACATAATATTACATAATTCTATATTTTAATTAGATTTGTTTATTTTATAAACTAAGTGCCTACATATAATAACGACGATTAGGATATTGGATGAAGTTTTTTTTATTTGCTTTGTTGAAATTATTATTATTATTTTTTGTATGATTATAATTTTTGCAAAAACTGTGTACTACGTTCCTAATCAATGTCTTTTTAATTTCTTGATTATTATCATTGTTATTAAACTTGGCGAAAATGTGCAGTTATTTATTTTGTTAGCTAATACTAATGTTAGTCATGGACACGTTAATTTAATTTAAATTTTGAACGTATTGAATTTTTATGTATTTTAATAATATTATACTTTTTCTCGGGGTATTTTAACTAGCTGAAGATAATTTACTTACGTAACAGTTACGTTTGATTTTTGGAAATAAATGTATACATTATAACTTCTAATTTTTTATTTTTATTTTTTTTTACATTGGTCTTTCTCGCTCCAAGTAACATATATATTATGTATACAGTAAAACCTTCTTATAACGGAATCGCTTTGTACCAACTGATTTGTTCTTTATAAAGGAGTTATCGTCATAGGGAGACTAAAATACATAATATATGGGATAAAGGTTATTTGCAGAACTGTTGTTGGTTTTCGTTTTAAAGACATTTCAACCTTATATAATTAGAAAAGTTATTGATTTTAAAACTGAGACGGGGTACAAACAAATCAAAATATTATAACTATAAATAAAAACTGTACAAGTAAAACAACATCGACAAACGACGAGATTTTTTTTTTTTATTCTAGTATTAAAATTTTAGAATTCTATTTTCTATCGTATTTAATCATCAGAATTTTGAGAAACTAACATTAGTTAAACTTGTAATATACGTAGCCCGTACCTTACTACTATTTACTGCAGTATTAAATATATAATGGTTTCTTTCATAACAATTCGACTGTCAGCGGATTTATCTAAAAATATATAATATTCAAATTAATTATATTCGTCTAATAGCTCCCTTGTAGTCGATTACAACGCCTTTGTATAAGTCTGTACCATTAGGCTGATTAATTATAACTCAGGGCGTTGGATTTCTTCACAGTAAAAACGCATAAACAATGCGTAAAGTTTAACGTAGAACAATATACTTATACCTAGACAATATTATTATTAACGAATACCTACTTACAACCTATACAAAGTAAACCTTTGCAACGTATGTGTATCTGACATGACGTTATTGAAAAAATATAAAAATACAAACGAATCGATTCGAATGTTGCGGGTGTTATTAGATAGTAGTACGCAGATGCATAATTGATTCGAGAAATGTTATTAGTTTTATAACAAGACGTGTGTTTCTTGTTTTGTCTTTCTTAAAAAAACACCTTTTTTACATATTATTATAATAATATGCAATCAAAATGCTCAACAAATTTCATTCCACTCGTACTAAGTAGGTATAAATAGATGAATATAAATACTAAAACGGTAACTAAAATACAATGTATACAAAGCTTATTTGATCTTCAATTCGTCATCTTTTTCTTTTGGAATGTATAGTGTTTTTAGATTAGGAGTGCAGCAAGGGAAAAGGTATGCTATATTAATACCATACTATAATATTATAATTGACGAAAACAAACTATTAAGTAATTTTATTTCTATCAAGTTTAGTTGGTAAACAAACGAAACTTGATGCCATAACAATGTTTATATAGACAATTGGGCAGTGATGCCCGTGTTCCACTTCCCAAATTGTTCTCTAGACTACAACACAGCATTAATGTTGGTATATTTGTCGAACATTTATTATTTTAGAATTGAATTACGTATATAATATTATTATATTTCATACTTCGAGTTATACGCAATATTATCTGTCACCTTAGTTTCTTCCGGTATTCCATTAGCCCTAACTATTTGGTATACGTGCCATATACCCGCCTGTGTACAACAATATCAACAACACTTAAAGAGAATACAATTACAATTACAATACTTTACTAATTACTAATACAATCGATTACTATTAATAGATTTTTTTAGTTTTTATTTTGTTTTAAATTGATAAAATTGTTTCGGACCAGCAACTCAACTCGGTAATTCAATACAAGGCATTTCATAATCGAAATCCGCTCGGAATTGTCTTTTGTTTTAACAATGATTTATCATCGAATATCAGAATAAATATAATTTACTAATTATAAGTATAATATAAATTATACTGTTTTATACATCTGCCATCCCAAATTCTTACCCACACAATAGTGGCATAGGTACCCTTTTTGACAGTATAAGCTCTTCTTTTAAATTCGGATTTAGCAACGAAGTGTTTTTTTTTTTTTAGAATTGCAACCGAATCCATTTAACTGATTGACTTTCTCAGAAAAAAGAAAAAAATACTTTCGTAAGATTCGATTTTTTACTATGGTGAAACTATTAAAATTTCGAACTGTTTGATTTAGATTCCGTACAGAGTTTATAGCCTGATGGGCGAGACGGTGATGTTACGTGCAATCGATAAGACAATCGATTTTCATCCGCTGTACAACAATAAACGATCCCCGAAACGTACATAATAGACGAGAGTGTTATATTGAGCTAATCAACGGACGTCCGGATAATTATAGGCGAACCAGAAACGTACAGATGTGATAACGATCTGTCGGTATAGGAGTTTTGTAGAAAATAACGCTGATAAAAAAAAATATAATAATAATATAGTAATAAACCAACAACGTTCGTGTGGAAAAAAAATTTAATATTTTAACGTCAACAACGTGCAACGGTCCCTGTATGATGCACGGTTCGTTCGCCGTTGAATTCCGTTTTTCTTAAACCTAATCTAACCCGCCTAAGTAAACGTAATTGCTCTGGTACAGGCTTTCGTGATAATTATCGTAGATGCGCAGAGGACAAACCTGCGAGCCTTTGGGCACGTTTGTCGCTCCCTGTAAATTGTATTTTAATAATAACATCGTACAACACGTACTCCTTCTCATGTCTAACGACGGAATGTAACCGTTCCGCTCGCCGACGATCGAAAAAAAAAAACATACAATAAAAATTCAGCAATAACATTAGGTATGATGTTCTCACGTCCTTATTGTATTTTCATTTTTTACATAACACGCCGTCGCAAAATCATCTTGATCCATACGCGGGCTGTGTAAGGGGGGTTTCGGGTTTCGGTTCCGTACCATACTTTTATGGAACATTAAAACGCTTACACGACGGTAATACGAAATAATTAACACTTTACTACACCTCGATTCCGCATTATTATAAACGTTTACGTGTTATGGTCGTAAAACGGTTTTAACAGATCTTCACGTACAGCTGTACGCGTATAATAATATGCCTAGTTATTTATTTAAACGGTCTTATAGAAAATATTAAGTCCAACGGCGGTTATCCGCCTGTCCATAAAACGACGTCTGCTTATCGAGGCGAATTCAGTTCGAAATGTACCTCATGTCATAATTTTAAGCATTTCTGTTTGGTATAAAAATTTTATCCACAGAGTACCTACCAAATAAAAATAACGTAAAAGAGTCGCAAAATTAGAATGTCTATAAATACCTCAAGAATGGCTCGTATAATATTATAAGTACGTTTACTCAACAAAGTATGTTACGTGGTCGGCAGCCGTAACAGAGGCAGCACGCCACTGTTACGGGCTGATACGTTTATTTTATAAAAATTATTAAAAAGAATTTTAAAATATTATTATGAAAAATCACTTTTCTCCGGGATTTCAGGTGGACGGCCCGAAGTACGAGCCCAGCCAGTTCAAATATAATTATTGTATTATATTTTGGAAAACATGTAACTCATTTGTGTTTAATTATATTTATGGGTGTAAGTATAAACACGGTTTCCCGAGGTTACCTAGCGTTCTAGTATTACTTACTGGGTGAATTATGAGCAGTAGTTGAAACTTGAAATATGAAACTACCAAGAGCCAATTATACCTAATAAATAAGGGAATTGGTGTTAGAACGACGCGGCTTATAAGGATTAACAGAAAAGCCAGCTACCGAGTTCTTAAGTAAAGTTATTGATGTTAAAAACATCGTAGGATAATGGGGTATGGTGCAGCCACTGTCATAAGTAATTCAATGTATACCTGTAAGCAATGATAAACCATTGGTGACGAAAAAACGATTCTGAGTGCAGTTCAGTTGATACATGATGCTTTGTTAACAATATATATATATATGCCAATATGTCTTATTATGGTAAAATAATTAAATAGGCTTTATATATTTTCTTTAATAATATTTGTTTAATATTGTACCGATTTTCCTGGTTATTCCTATATTTTTTCCCGGTTTTTCACATTTGCTGGGAAAATTCTTGGGAAAATCGAATAATGGTCTCTTTAAAGTACCTTCTCAGTCAGATTTCCTTTCAAAAAAAGGGCTATTATTATAAATCGGATCAAAATTTCTGGTAGAAAAGTTGTACACAGAAAAGAAAGAATGCCGTAATATTTTTTAACTAATACCTAAATTTTGTACATTTTCCCGTTTTTCCTTCGGATTTTTGGTTTTTCACATTTGTTGCGAAAATTCCTGGGAAAATCGAGAAATATCTTCCCTAAATTACCATGGAGATAAAATTTCCTTTAAAAAAATAAGTTACACTTGATCTATCGGAGTTAATCAAGAGTTATGGTAGAAAAATGTGCACAACAAATCAAATGGTATTTTGCGATTAAAATAATCCGAGCTAGTGATGGCTTTGGTCCCTAAATACACCCAAAATGCATTTGTTTTATCCTTGTATAGGTAAAAGGGGGAAAAATATTTTTTTTTTCGAAACCCAAAATTCTAAATCGCGATCCCTAGGGTGAAAATGAATATTTAATATGTATGGTTATACATAATGGTTATTATGCTACGACAAACATTCTTTGAAAAAGAAAATATAGTTATTTATTACAAGCATAATATTAGAACTTCAAAAAGCATAAATTTCGAAATTTAGCCAGTCCGCTCAATTCTGACTTCACCGTCGTTCTTAAATCGGCAATTTACATAATATATACAATATTCAAAACATTTTTTAGCGGTTTTTGAGTTATTTATAGCTATTTGAACTTATCAGATTTTTAGTTTTTATTCGGTTTCATGTTGATTACATTTTTTTAGCTAACGATCGTAATTAATTGTGTAGTTAAAATCAATAAAATTTCAATCTATAAATTTATCAAAACCTCACGCAGAATCGTTTTTCGTTTGCAATACAGTTAGTGCGCGGACCCAGTAGTTGGGAATCCCTACCACCCCCTTCTAAAAGTTTTACACAAATTCTACAAAACACTTACATAGATGCGTAATTTTAATAACAATTTCAGAAATTTGATACCTACCTACCTATCTACTGACTTATTATAGCACTTCGACGATTTAATAATGTATTACTCTCGGACCTTTCCAGGAGTTTGTTTGAAATATTCGTACCTACCTATATAAACATAATTATAGAGAACTGAAAAATTTATCAAAGCACTTTACATATAATATGGTATTGGATCTGACCTCTAGCGGAAACTGTTCAAACTACGTGTTATCATTTGTTGTTTTTTTTTCGCGTTCATGACAATAGAATATAATTGCGGGGGAGCCGGCATTCGGCAAGCGTGACAGGTGTGTATTGACATTGAAAAAAAAAACACTCTTATCAATCATTCGTAACCGTTAAATTGTAAATAAGCACGTTTAAATAAGATAATTATTATTTCTTGTTAGTATTCGTCGCTCGTACGTTATGAGTATTGATTTTTTTTTTTATTAGTCTACTACGATTGTCACTTTACTTGTATTTCAACCGCCGCGCGGCAACCGATGTCTGTTGCTAAACGTCATAACATTTCTCGTCAGCGAATATTTACTCTGAACCAGTCGGCGGATCATATTTCATTTTCGACTGCAGTTTTGAACTACTGTAGGTGAGTATTAGACAAATGCGACAAGCATTTTAAACAGCCTGGTTAACGGTCGGGCCCCGTTTATTGATCAGCTCCCGTTTGACGAACGACGGTAATTTCTTGATGATTTTTCGCAGGACACTAGGGCTGATTAATAATGTCGCTGAACGTGTTGGACTCGTACAAGTGTATGTTGGAAACCGTAAACGACTGTAACAACATCAAGTATATGCCATACCGCATTGCTATGAAGCTGATCGTCTTACAAAAATTCACCAACAGTAATTATTTTAATTTTACCAGAACATTTTAATCGGGTATTGTAGATGGAATCTCACTGTCCAGTAGTACTTATTACTACGCTTAAGAAATTTAAAACCTTTTTATAATCAGAATGTTATAGGTATTATCTTAGGGTGACCGTATTTAAAAAAATAAAAATAAAAAACCGACAAAATAATTTCAGTACCTTATACATTCGAAGTAATATTTATTAATAATTTACTATAGCTTATTTTATTTCTTTTTTTTTTTTTTGTTAATTTCTCATAATTATGCTTGTATTATTAATTATTTCAAATACATCCATAAATTATTTTAAGTGTTTTATCACCAGTATTGATTTTTGTGGTTATTATTTTTCATAAATACAATCGCAATCACTGTCATAATCCATAAAAAATATTTTTAACAACAAATTAGTTTTATTTTTAAATAAAATAAAATTTTAATCAGTATGTTAAAATTATAAAATATTTATATCTAATTAAATAAAACAAGAACTAATATGGAATAATAGGCATCGACATAAAAAAACAACAAAAAGTGTCCTGAAAAAAGTTCGTCAGGACAACAGGACATAAAGCTGGAAAAAAAGGATAATTCTGCATAAAACAGTTTGTATGGTGGTCACTCTATATTATCTACCCAGTTTAGATTCTCACAATTTAATAATTGTGTGCAGCTCGATAGAAATATAAACATAATATATAGTTAGCTGTAGGTTTTCAGTTATACAGTTTGTTGTACATATTATGAAATTATATTTTTCGAAATGTGTATATTAAAAGCACATTATAAATTATATTTCTGTTAAAAAGGTTAGAAAAGTAGAACATTTTACGATAAAAATAATTACACCTGGGTAGGTATGTTAGTGAGTCTTTATTTGTCTCACATATCCAAAAACAATGTAAACTTGTTTTTGGATATTCAATAATATAACTTATTGAAATATTTCGACTAGAAAACACCAATTAACAAAATAGTAGAGGAGAAGCGGTTTATCTGTATTTTTAAGATTTACGATATATCTTAATAATGAAGACAAATACAAAACACAATATTTTGATCTACTGGACAGTGTAAATAAAATATTGAAAATCAGCTTCCATACAAACATTGACGAACTTTTATAATTTATTTCTGTATTTTCTCATCAAAACCAATGAAAAATTTAAAAAAAAATAGTAGTTTTGTTTGTTAGGTAGACAAAGGTGGCAAATGCAGGTATAGAATCTTAATTTCAGAATTTTAATAAAACAAACTGATAGCTTCTTCTTGAAAAATTCACAAATGTTTTACATTTACACATTATTTAAACATACATGTTATTCTTATGTTAACAAAGAAATTATTATCATACTATCAAAACATACTATTTATTAACCGATAAAATATAATTCACGTTGTTTAGTAAAAAAAATTATTGATTAGAATTGTGTTTTATTTATTGTAGGTAGTAATTGTTTAAAAATCAACTAGGTACTACATATACTTTGAAGTTTAATATAAATATTTGTTGGCGGTTACAATTTTTAAAAATAATGGAATGTCAATATGTTTGAAAACTTTTGTATGTACACAAATTGTATGGTTTGTTATGAATGGTTTAAAACAAGTACAATCAATGCCATTATTAATTTCTTAATCCTGTTTTATAGTTTGATATTTTTGAAACATAAAAATTATATCTTTTTGTTCTTTTTTTACATTTTAACAGTTAAATAAATTCAATGTAACTAAATGAAACGTTGGTTCTTCTTATTACAGACCATATATAAGTATTAGAAACTCATTAATACCTAATCCATAGTTATTAATTATTTAAAAATGTGTTTACTTTAATAACATTATTATCTTGTGTAAATAGTACATTTTTCTGATTTTTCATGACCCTAGCATATATACATAACATATTTTTAACAATAATAATAAAAAAAATTATCCACAACTTTATTCACATACAATTTTTATGTAAACCTACCTATATATAAAAAAAACATTATCAAATAAGTAGGTAAATAACTAATAAATAGTTAACATCGTGTTTTTGAAGTCTTAGCCATAGCAAAGTACAAAATAATTTACCACATAAAAATAATATAATAACACAAAAGTATAATGCAATGTATGGCAAATAATATTTTCCAATACGGTACTAATCGTACGGATGGCACATTATGAAAACACACACGGTTATCTACCGAAATTGATAATACTGCTGCTTTCATATCTGGCATTATATCTTTATTGAGAAATTCTAGACCAGTAACAAACATTGCATGCGCGTGTTTTATGGTATAAATTGTTTTCAAATTATTTGTCTCGTGGATACTAACACTACCCGAATACATTGTGCCCACAGCAAGATATAATCCGTCATTACGCACCGCTAAAGCTGAAGTAGGCTCGGAAAACGGTAACTCAAAGAGAATTTTATTAGTTTCTGACCATCTATGTAAGAATGATTTTTGTTTAGGATTATTTGCAATTGTATACACATTATGCATTGTTTTATTGCGAGTAATGCCAAATTTACATCTTTTAAACATTAGTTTATCAATAATCGGATGTGTAAGAACTGACCGTACATTCGTATCAGTATTCCAATTGAATGCTTTTCCATCTTTGGCGACACTCACTATAAATTTACCATCGGCACTAATGTCTATATCATCGATTTCTTTTGTATGACCTTTATATTCTTTCAATGGATCTGTGCCTTTTGATTTATCAATCGGAAAGTTCCATAAACGAATACATCCATCGGTACCACCTGTAACCATCATATTACCTTCAGCATTAATTTTGACGATTCTTTGTAGTGGTTCGTCTTCAGTGAAATCTGTTACTAAAGCTTCTCCAGTTGTTATATTAAATTTAATTTCTTTACTGTCTATACCTTCGTGAAACGTTGGTTCTATTATAATATCAGCAATATATTGTCGACATTTATCATCTTCATTTGCTGCAATATAGATTTTATTACCTTTTAGATTCGTAGAACAGTTCATAATTACATAGGGACCACTATCGTGTCGAATCACTTGTGTCATCGTTATAGTTTTACCCTTTCTGTTCAACTTAAACACTTCGAATCCATTAGCTATACCAGTTTTGCTTGAACCACCACCGCCAGCCACCAGTATATACCAGTTCTTCATGAATGTTTGAATCGAATACATTGGTAGATTTGTTGTAGTTATCACTTGAGATTTGCTCGACATTTTTTAAATTATCGTTAATTAATTAGTAACTTAAGTGTTTAAAAAAAAAAAAAGTAAAACGTAAATAATTTAAATTAACCTTGTTCCAAGTCTTGTTTTAAAATGCATTGATGTCAATCGCAAAAAATAGTACGTAAACACAAATAAAATAATGTTGTTAATGTTATCAATTTATCATTATTATCGTTTTAAATTACGAATCTGGTTTTGAACATTAATAAGTGATAAGAAATCAATGCTTATCATGAATTTAGATAATAAACTAGATTGCCAACTAGTGATATGATGTGTTTTTATCCGCCATTTTGTGTAGGCAAATGCATGTCGAAATCCTACCATAATCTTAATTCTTATCTAAAATATCTGAAATGTACATTTTTAAATGATTAAATAAATGAATTTAAAATATCAAATAGAATTTGGTACCTTCATGAAAAAATACATTGTAACTGAATTACAACCAAAAAACAAAATTGAAAAATAATAAAAACATTATTTTCGTAATTTCTCTGTTCTATCTACGTTTTTTTTTCCGGGTATTCTTTAATTATTATGAAAACTACTCAGAAAATCAAAAAAAAATATGTAATTTCTCATTTACCAATTAGTTTAATAATGAAACAACATTGATCTCTTGTCATATTTCTGGTAGAAAACAAGTCGTGAAAATTTAAAATATTACATTCCATTGTTTGTCTTCTTTTTCGTGTTTTTTCCAAATTATTTTGAAAACCCATTGGAAAATCAAAAAAATGAAATTTTCAACGTACCAATTAGAGAAATTTACTTTACAGAAAATGTGCTATACTTGCCACATCGAAGCAAGATTTATTTTCGAAAAGTTGTATACAGATAGGAATAAAAATTGCAAAAACGCACATCATAGTAAATACAACAGATACCCTCTACGCTTTGAATCTAAAATAAATTATTGATCACATTACACTCTACTTGTCTATTTTTTATCACTAAGTACAACTTATAATGAACCTTCTGTTAAATTTCCAACTTTTTTTGTTTGGTCAAACAGTTATATCTATAGTACCAAATAAAAACTACGTAAAAAAAACTTGATAACTTAAAATTACTAAAATTCGCCAAAATGTTTTGAAAATATTACCACGTCTAGAAGAGTCAAGTATAAGTTTTCTTTCAAGTTTTTACAATAATTTGTATTTTTATAAAATTAATGTATCAATGAATAATTTAAAATCAACTAGACTAGATTATGATTATTTTTCTCGTCTATTAAATATTACTACCTACTTAATTCAAATTAATTAAAAAATATTGATTTTTATGAATATTGTTAAAATCTTCACTTTTAATACCAATAAAAAAAAATTATGACTACGGATTTGCAATATTTGTATAATACCTTCTACCATAAAAACAACTTACAAGGAACCTTGTAATTTCCTACCATTACATACAATGAAAATATTTTAAAACCATTGATTTATATTATAAAATAATACATTCTTTACTTCGGTTTCAGAAACTAAAATGTCCAAAATACAGTATAATATTGTTGATTTTATTTTAGAAATAAATATTTGATTACATTATTTAAATGTAATAATTAGGTTTAACATACTAACTTATTTGAATATTTCAGTGGATAAAGTGTCATTGTACGTTATCAATGGTGTTTATGAACAACATAAAGGAAAAAATCTCAATCTAATTGATAAAGCTATGTTAGAAGATATTGTATCCGACATATTTTTTGCCGTCCAAAAAGAGCATTCAGATTTAACTTTTGATGGAGAAATAGCTACTAAAGTATTAGTTCAATTGTTGGGACAAATATTTTCAAAGTAAGTATTATTACTTAAATAACGTGTACAATGTACATATATTTAGATCATTGCCATAGCCAAGAGGGGGGGGGGGGTTGGCTCACGTATCCCCTCCTCAAAAAAAATCTTTTTTTTTTTCGTAATTCTGTTATGGAGTTTACATAAATTTGTTTTATTAATAAAGTTTATTGTTAGTCATACTATTAAAAGTATTATAATATACATTTAATATTATTATGTATAATATATGAATGTCATCCAATATCCAATAGAAAGTCTAACTCCACAATCTTGTCTTTATAGTTTTTAGTGCCAACTATAAAATTTGGTTTTAGGGACATATTTTCTTTCTACAATTAGTGATTTATATTCTCTCTTACAAGGTTACTAACTCTGTTTTAACTTTACATTATAAAACTAAGGGGGTATTAATAATAAATAATAAAGGTGTAAGGAAGTCATAAACTAATTGATGGTAATTATTCTAGCCTAACAAAAACTGGATAAAAAAATCAAGTCCCCTCCCAAACCGCTGAAATTTTTTTCTGGCTATGGTATTGATTTATATTGTGGTTTACAAAACTATTTTTAACAAAGTAACAAAAACACAATAATTAATATAATTTTATTAATGAGTTTTTATTAGTCACGCTTATGAAACATAAATTGTTTTTTATTTTTTTATAAACTAAAAGAGATTATCAATAGTATTTTATATTTTTAGTTTTTTTGACCATAAATAAGGTTAAAGAATCAATTCCTAAGTAAATTCAGTAATTTGTATTAGATTTCATTATCCTATAATTGGTTGGTTTTTTATTATTTATGTGTGTTTTTTTTTTTTTAATGCTCGCCTTATAAATTTAATATAAACAATTTTGTTATTATTTATGTGTGTTTTTTTTTTTTTTTTAATTCTCTCTTTATAAATTTAATATAAACAATTTTGTTATTATTTTTTACTTATATTTGTCGTATTTATTAATCAAAGTTATATTATAATGTTAATAATGTTATCATTTTTCAGGTATACAAAAAAACAAATTAATTTGAAATCAGCGCTTACAGTTATAGCTTGTTTATCAAGTGACAGGCTTCGCATAAGATTAGGTTATATGTTTCAATTGAATTGTCTTAATGATGATTTTGGTTTGACAAAAGAGTTTTTTCGGAACTTGCTAAGGGATTTAAGTTTATTATTGGAATTTTTATCAGAAAAAAATGTCTTTGATGTGTCATCTATCAACAGCGTCATTGAAAATTGCTTTGAAAATGTTAATAAATAATTGATTTTTAAAAGTCGAAAAAGAAATACATTTTACTATAATGGTATATTTAACTGTTCTGTTTTATATTTTAGTTGAACAATCCAACATCTATAAATGAAGGGCAATTCATGCAATGGTTTATGACTGAGCCTCCAGTATTAGAATGGTTACAAATATTGTATAGAATAAAAATGGCTGAAAATGGTAAAGTTATTCCTTAATTTAATTTTAATATATTATTAATTTTACTTTTTTTTTTAGTTAACCACGAAGTAAATTGTAAAATTTGCAAATTACCTGTAAAAGGTTTACGTTATTTTTGTTTAAAATGTGTTAATTATAATCAGTGTCAAAATTGTTTTCTGATTGGTGCCACAAATAAAAAACACAAACTAAAACACGCAATGCAAGAATATTGTTGGCTGGTGTGTATAATTATTATACTTTTCATTTCTCTTTGGAATAAAAAAAAAATAGAAAATATGTAAACCTATTCTTTTCTTTTTTAGGAAACACCACAACAATTATATACACAGTATTTGAAATCCTATTTAGGAAGGATTTTTGGTTTGACATCAAAAATTCGATATCTTCCTGTAGAGATGTCTAGTGATATTATTGAAACAAATCAAAAGTAAATAAACTAAAAATATAACTATGATTTTTGTAAAATCATAAAAAATATCCCTCATTAATCTTATTACATATTTAAATAGATGTTAGTTGATATTAAATTAATATAGTACAAATAATTAAACAAACATTATTATAATATAAACAATCAAATACAAAATAAATCTATTAAATGTTAATTATATGATGTTAATTGATATAATATTGATTTTGTTATAAATAGTATAATTTTATAAAATATAAAAATATTAAGATTTACAAACAAACATATTAATAAATATAGATTTTTTTAAAAAAAAATAAAATATAAAAAAAAAATCATTCAAATTATTTTTACATTATCTTACTCACACATTGAGGCTTGTTTTGTTTTGTTTTTTTTTTATTTGTTTTTACTATCTACTGTTTCTACCTACTATTTGTAATAAAAATATTTTATTTAATATTATTAAAACTTCATTAATATCAAAGTTTAAAAATGTATTTCTATTGAAAAATATTTTTTAAAGAAAAAGCACATCAATTGTTTGTTTCATATATAAGTTATTACTTAAGACTATAATATAGTAGTATACTACTGATATTTCAATTAAAACTATTTTAAATTCAGTTTTGTAATAGTTTATAATTAATTTGTTGTTTTTAAATAAGATTATGTTTTAATCTGCCAAACAGTTAACCCCATCATAGATTTTAAAGGAGGAACACGCACAATAATGTTAAAAATCAAATATTTATAAACCTATCAGTTGTTTTTTCTTAACCTTAGATATTGTATTATAATTTATTAATTTAATCTTTGTATTTTTAATGTTGATAATAATATAGCATTTAATATCAATTATTCAAATTTCTCTGATTTTCTAATTTTATTTTAAAATTGAGTTAACATTTTATTGAATATACCTTTAGTATGCTAGGTAATTTTTTCCGTTAGATTCTCATACATTTACATTGTACAATTATTTTTGTTTGCAAACAACTTAATTAAATTAACTTAACTAATTTTGCATGTAATAGTAATAGATGCAACAATAATAATACAAAAAAAATTATAAAAACTGATCAAATATAACGTAATATAATAATATTGTGTGTTTTAGATAATAAAATTAACTAGTTTTCTCTTAACATATAAATATTCTAAATAAAATTTATTATTGAACTATTTATTTATACTGATTTTTAATTGATTTTAGTGTTTTGTGGACTAAAGAATCAAGTACCATCTCAAATGATTCCAATGCAGTTAGATCACCTCGTCAAGAATTACAAAGTGTTATTTCACAGATAGAAAGAGAAAATAGGTGCGAGTAATTATTAATATAATAATATTTTATACAATTAACTAAGTAATAATAATTGAGAAGTATGATTTAAAATATACTATTTTTAGATTCTGAGTGGAAGGAGGTATTGGTAAAACCTATACATTTGTATTAGTTTTATTTATTTTTTTCTGTGAACAACTTTTCTATCAGAAATTTTGCTTTGAATAGTCATTCAAGTTTAGTAAATCATATAGTTACGAAAAACTATGTCATTACATTTTGTATAGATAATTATATGTTCTTTATTAAGATTTGATACATTTTTTTGTGAGTGCTATAATTTTTTAATTAAATTCGAAAAAAAAAGGTCAAATCATCATCTTTTGTCATTTATTAACCCTAATTTTTCAATTCATAAAAACTGCATTGGATAGATAATGTTTATAATGTCACTCTTATTCTAGTTATTATTTTCTGATATATTCCTATTTTTAATGATATTAAATAAAATATGAAATGATGATACTTTTCAAGATTTTTTTTTGAATGGTTTTTATTTCAGACTATTAGAAATTGAAGTAAATACTTTAAAGCGAGGTGATTCTCAGTTTGAAGCATTTTTAGACCAACACCGAAGCAAAATTGAACGACAGTTAGTACGTTTAAAACATTTAAAGGTATTGATTGTTAAAAACACCTCAACATTTTCTGGTTTATTTATTATAATACTGATAAAAAATGTTTTGTGTATATTTTCCATGTAGAATCATTTAAGTGGTACTTTTGGACGTGGAAAAATGAAACGTATGCAGAGCACTCCAATTATTGTATCAAGACCCGACCATAAAGATAATATTGCTGCAATGAATTTAAGTCCAATATTATCTACTGAAACATCAAGTGTCATGACAACACATAGTGGTCTCAGTGCTCTTAGTACATTATATGTTAATAAAATTGGTAATTTCACTACCAAGACTGAAGTCAATGAGTTTTCTCATTGGTTAGCTCCGAAAATAGCCTCCACAGCCACCAACATGAAAAATCCATTAGATGGAACATATATTGAAAAAGCACCAGAACCATCTGAGATTAGAATTGATCCATCGAACAAAGAAAATGCCATAAATACTGAAATTGAAACTTTAGTACCATTGAACTCTGGACAACTTTCAGTATTGTCTGATATTTTGAACAAACAGAATGGACCGATTCCTAGATCTCCTGATAAGATTTCCATTACGGTCAATAAACAATCGTCTGTATGGCTTAACTCTAGTAGAGAATATGCTAAAGAGCCTGTCGCCGAAACAGATAATAAGGACATGGAAGAATTACACTCTGAACTAGATAAAATTTTAGACCAGTTACAAAAACTTGTGACTTAGAACAAAAAAAAAATACATTTTTTTTTCCTATTTATTTTATTTATACGCACTTTTATTTTATTTATATTTATTTTAAGGAAGACACATATTTTTCTAATATATTTTAATACATTTTTTAACATTATTAATTTTATTTATTTGTGTGCAAATTTTATTGAAAATCATTCTGTCTATGAATGATAGTATCTATAAGGTTTATTGTTTTTGTGAATTCATATCTTTCAATTACTATTGAAACGTAATTCAATTTTTCCTATTGATATTCCCATATTCTCTACTGATAACTTAAATTTTATGTACATTTTTAATATTACATATATACAATCCATCTCCTTGAAGAGTGAAGCTATTGTGAATATTGTTTGATTTGCATTGAAACTGACTTGTTAAAAATAGACATTTTTTTTTTTTTTGACATTAAGGAGCTTTTCTGTATTTTACTTAATACTTAATACATCTAAATTAGTTATTTATTTTAAATATAATACTCCACAAGAGGAACAGGAAAATATAAAAACTGGATTACAGTAACAATATTATATAAGTTCTAAATAAAATATTTTAATGTTAAATACATCATCATTTAAATGTTTAAACATAACAAAATTAAATGGTTACAATTATTTATATAAACATTATTTTAAATGTTTTAAATTTGTAACAGAGCATAACTGAAGTAAAATTAGAAGCTTACTACACTACATGACTGAAATTTAAAATAATAGTAATTTTGTCACTCAACTAACAATGTCAGTATTAATATAGAATGGGAAAAAAAATTAAACGTTTAAAGTATTTGGGAAAATGTACAAGTATTGGTCATTGGTGTCTTCCAAAGGACTTTTTAATAATTAAAAAACTTTAGGCAATAGATTTTGTGATTAATTAATCATATAATCATTATTTCTGTAATTAAATAATAATTTACTACTTTTTACGTTTTTCCAAAGTACAATGAAAATTAAAAAATCCCCCCTTCAGAGCACCAACTAAAGCACTTTTCAAAAATATAATGTTCAACATTAATTGTTTTTATGAGTTTTTATAGAAGTTTAATGTTTATTATTTGAAAATCACAAAATCCACGTAGGTAGATAGGTACTATCTAGGTACCCACATTTATTTTCTGATTTATGTGGACAAAACTTTTAGTTTTATAAAAATGATAACCAAATTAGGATCAGAACGTAAATTGTAGCTTTTATGTTGAAATTAAAGTATTTAACTACAAAAACAAAATTTTAATAATTATAGCTACCTGTTTAAAAAATATAAAATTGAACATCACTAAAATTGTTTGTAACAATTTTTTTTAGAAAAAAGGTATTTACTACATAAGGTACTATAACCCCTGATAATATTATACTCTTTGAATTTTATTGTTGTTATGTTTAAACGCCAAATTGTTTATAATTATAAATTGCTTTCTTTTGTTATTTGTTGAAACGAATAGTAATATTATGTGGTCGTCCTTGAAACATAGGTAACTCTGTATAGGCCAGAATATTATTCACGGTCGCTAAAATAAATTCAAGTTACAATGCCAGTTTATAGTTTCCGTTCGTCAGTATAGGTACTATTATAAGTACCACGTAAGGAGGCGGTTATAACGTGTTTACTTACCAGTAGGTATTGTATAGTGTAGACGCTACTTTGTAAAAATTATTTTTTAGTATATTTAAGTAAGATTTTGAGAAAACGTAATCAATTATACCTACATAATTAAATATTTAATTGCTGTCCGTCGCGTAGCGAAGGGAGGTGTTTTGGTGTTCAAAATAATTTGTATTACCTATACCCGTGCAGTGTTATATAGCGGCTAAATCAGATTTCTTCAATATGTGTTGTGTTACGCATAGATAATTTGTAAGTATAATGTTATGTGTATTATATGCCATATTCGCATAATAAAGTTACATCTAAACACAAAATAAAATCCCCACCCCCCCAAAAAAAATCCCAGCTACGACATTGAATGTTGTTAAATTTTAGTGCATCGTCAATACAATTTTTTATAAATCGTCTTATTATGTATTTATTTATTTTGCATAATATGACCATATCGGTTTATAATACTAATTATAATGGTAAAGGACTTGTAGCTCAAAAAAGTCACCTAAATATGTACATATTCAAAATAAGCATTTATATGCAAAATAAAATAACACGATAAACCATATGCATTAAAAATATATAATTTTTAAATTAATTTAAATGATGCCTTGAATTGAACAAGGGGCTGAACATTAATTGAATTAATTAAACATTTTTTCACGGGGTTCAAAACCTATAGGTACCTATAGGATATTGAAATAAATTTGAAATCTGCATATTAATCACGAAATCAGTAGGTAGGTAATTTCCAAAGGTAACCTACTTACCTATCTAACTCTATTTTTCAATCATCACATATTTAAATGTATAGATAATACAACTAAAAAAAGTAGGTAGGTACTTAAAATTTATTTTATATTAAACTAAAATATGTAGGTAAATTGAATAATGACGCCCCTGCATGAAACTCAAATAATTTTTTCAAGGGTAATTTCAGATTGATAATTTGTATCTTTACGTTTTTCGGTTAATTACTTTGTCAATATTGATTTTCTCCTTATCAACTATAATAGATGCATTCAGTCAAATTAGAAGTTTCACTTTGGAATAAGAGATAATGACCCGGAAAATCATATGCACCTTCATTTTGGCGTTTTAAAAATTGTCTCAAATCTCACAAAATCTCCTGTCTGCGTCGTAAGTTATTCAAGGTCAAAGGTCACAAAAATCGGATTTTCACGATTATCTCGGTTTCTATAGCTTCAATGATGTTAATATTTATTACACAAATTGTAGTACGTAAAATGTTCGATAAATTTTATTTTAAATATTTTTTCATGCGCTCAACCGTTTCTGAGATACAGAACAGAGAGCGCGCAGCTCTCAGCCATAACTACTGTAATTAATGGTGTTATTCGTTTCTTGTGCTAGTTATTATCTACTGATGGTTTATTTTCGTGTCATTTTTCGCTCAGTGACAATTCAAAGTGTACAAAAATAAAATATGTACATAGGTACAGATTGCATTATTCACTTGAAACTGCGCTGCTCGCAAACTGGAATTTTTCTTCCGTGAAATGAGATTCGGTGGTATGCACAAATAAAATAAAAACATAGGCCTGTTAAAAAGAAAAATGTCTTCTTTTTTTTTTTGGTCCAGCCTACTAAGTATACAGCGTATAGACCAAACAGGTAGATATTTATTATAAATATTTATGTATATGTATGTTGGGTGATATTATCAAGTATTATTTGGAAAATTATAATATTAGGTATTTAGGTCGGACGAATTTATAAAAGAATATACAAGTATCTGCTGTAAGTATCTAACCCATTAAATCAGTTCGTAAGAAATTGAACTTGTATAATATTCCGTATATCATTATAATATACGTATAGGTATTGTATATATAAATCGAACATATTGTGTTTTTACCCGAGTAAATAAATTCAAACGGACACGGCGTACAGAATGAATAATATATCTGGCGTGTCAATGTTCAACATTCAGTGTTATCACTTTGCGGAACATTTTTAATATTTTATTGTTAAACCTAACACTACGTGACGAGAAGTGTTTTAAACTGTTAAACGGACACCAACTCACTGTCGACGACCGATTAATGTATTCAATGTTTGTGGTTTTTAAAAACGGAGTAAAAACGTATTGTACCTATAGGAAAATTTTTGTTTCCGCGTACGAAAACGTTTTCGGTTTTTTCCGTTTAACGTAACCCCGCGTACAAAAACGTTTTCGACAATTTTCTCGCCGTGAACATATGTAGCGTTTTAGTACATAATATCAAGCCAATTGATTTGACTTTTTACACCGAAATTTCTGGGCGTTTTGTAAAATTGTTACCATTTTAATTTTAATTTGGTTATAGCGTCTTTATAAATGATAGATATAACTTTTAATTATTTACGACATAGATAATTGAATTCAATATTATTACAAAATGCATTTACTATTACATATTTTAAGACATCTAACTACATTCTGTAATAGTTGTCTGTAATGTAAATTGATATTATATTACTATTAAATGATTATAAGTTACAGAGTATACATTGAGGGGAGGCGAAGCAGTCTCACACGTGAATAACTTTCGTGTTTTACACACGCACATGAAATAATATTAAGGGAGTAAAAGCGTGTAGGAAAATTTTATTTTTCGTATACGAAAAAGTTTTCATATAAGTTTTCATATAGTTTTCCGTATAGCGTTTCCGTGTCTGAAAACGTTTTCAGTTTTTCGTGTTACGATTTTCGAAAACGTTTTTACTCCCTGGTTTAAAATATAGGAAGTTATACCTATTTGGTAATTGTTATTATCATCACTTATTTTAGCTTTTATAATACGTATCTGTGACAGTGGCGGTCAAATGATTTTGTCACGGGAGGAATGGCATGTATCATTTTTAAGAATTATATTATTTGCATCATTTTTGTGTAACTATAAATATAGATTATTATAAATATTTCAGAAAAATGAATTAATCCCCCTAAACAATCGTTGTTGTAATCGTTTTACCATAACATGACATAATATTAGGTATGTATATATTGTTGATAAAACAACACTATCAACTGAACTCTATTCAGAATCATTTTGTCGTTGACAATGGTACATCATTGTTTACAGATGTACATCAAATTCCCGTCTATATGTTACTTTCCCAACTCCCCACCTACAACAGTGGCTGTAGCCACGTGTAAAATATGTCGGTCTTCTTTTTTCCATAATATTATTACATAGTTTCTTAAATTACCTATTAATATTTACATCTGAAGGTTTCACCAGTTTGCCTTATATAGGCGTTACATTTCATACTATAGTTGAACGTATAGAATACAGAGCCTTGTAATTATACCATATACCTACTTAATCTTGCATATATTTCGAGAATCTTAAAAACGTACTTTGTAATAAATTTACAGAACAAAAAGGTAAGCCACGGCCGGATGGTTATAATTATTATTACCTACCCAAGTGAATGTTGGTCAGTGGATTAAATTAATGCATCCGTGAGGTCCGTCCCAAATGTATAAACTGAATTTAAAAATATTACATCACTAGTTCCGTTCATATGTATTCAGTGATATACCTACCAGTTCCGTCCTTTTTATATTTCACATGATTTATAAAATATTTACATTTTGTGAGTTTTCATTTTAGTGTATAGGTACTGTGTTGTATTTTGGTCTCAGGAAAAAAGGGCTTTAACTATCTGAAATTGCCGCGGACTTATCCTTTTCGTGACCTAATAAATTTTAAATCCTTGTGAGTTGTGTACTGATTATCCTTATCATAATTTGTTTCATGTCTAGGTAATAATCTATTCTTAATCTACCTCTTCTGAAATGGCCTTCTGTGTTCTTTTTTCGAACATTATTCGTTAAACTATCGTGACGCAGTAATTATAATATCTTACCTCTACAATTTTGTCTGTTCTGACTGTAATATTTCACCAAAGTTCTCATTTTCCTTTATCCTGTCCTGACCATTTTTGACATTATCCGACGTTTCAAAAGTCTCTATATTGTTTTTTTCCTGTATTACATATTATGTATTATAATGTAGGTATGTTATATTTTACGATCTAACCGGTCTTGGTTCAAAGTTGAATTGGAATTTTTTATTTACTTTTTTTTCACGATAATAGAGTGTTCAGCATGTTTGAAAATTATTTTTTTTGTTTTTAAAATATCGCGGTCACCGCGTTCGCCATTGAGTTGTTGGTTTAATTTAAAAAAAAAAACGAATCGATTATAATAAATTATACGATATTGTAAATCTCTGATAAAAACATTATTGCGTATGATGGACTGTGATATTATACTGGACCGCGGCCTGTACACCTGACCCAGTTGTCGGGTCGTGGTTTCGCGTATTAATTCAGTGCGATATCAGCTAATAAACTATAAAATCAGCTGTGATTATTATAATAATATATGATTGATCCATGTGGTTACGTACGTTCTATGTAGACGTACGTTTTAGAGCGCACGTAAAATACGATTCTTCACAAACCGGTTGATTTAGTTTATGGTTGATGTCGACTAATTTTACACGTGCAAAGTGCTTGTAGATAATAATCTTTTCGGATGTTTCGATACAAAAATAAGGCGAATTAATTATCTACATAATTATATTGTTTTTATTTAACATGCAAACCGATTCGACAAAATACCTATGTACCCGTTATTGTTTACATACCTACCTACAAAGTGTTCCCGGTCATCATGTCGCGAGCTAACAGGTAACGAAAACAACAACAACTTTATAGTTGAAATATGCACCTACACGGAAATTAATTTTTATTTCAAAACATAGCACCATCATTCACAAATTGACCGGTTAATAATGATGCAAATGTGTAAGCGATGTAAACCGAAAAGAAATAATATAGCGTTAGCCAAAATAGGTTACTATATTATTATTGTTATGATTATAATATGGTTATTAACTGTCACACATTGTTCGTATGGTAATATGAAATATATTTCACATTATGAAAACGTATTTTACGGACTGTATTACCTAAACTTAATAATTTATTTATCGTTGGCGTGAGAATCAATACTTTACATGTATTGGGTATACATAGCCACATAGGGTCCACTAGCGGATTTTCAACATTTTTCTGGGAGGGCTCCTGAAAATTCATATGTACCTATTTTGATAATTTCAAGGTGTTGGATATATTATTATTTGTTGAAACTGCCTCCTAGCAAAGTACGATAGGCCTAGGATGAAATAAAATTTGTCGACATTTCTATAGGTACATATATATATATATATATATAGATTTTTTTTTTTATTAGATTGCGTAAAAATGTGCTTTAGCTTAAAAATTATGTACATTATGTAGGACCCAAAACTTTTTTTCAGATACATGTATGATCACAATGGACTAAACGAGACATCACGCAGTCTTTTGTTCGTATTCTCGATTCTCGATAAAGGACAAGCATACTTTTAAATTATGGCACCGAGAACAAGCAGCTGGCCCGTATGGAGTAATATATCGAGTACGGACAACAATATCAAATCGGCGGACGACTGGATTGAGGCGCACCGCATGGAAGATGGGGCAGAAACATTATGGAGAGTTCACGATGAGTTGTACGATTTAGAGCCATGGATAAAAAAGCATCCCGGTGGACCACAATGGTTGGAAATAACAAAAGTATGTGCATACATGCCTACACACACAACTATTATAGGAAATTATATTATAGACACATATGTATAATACCTACGATTTTTTACACAATAAAACGATTATTTTTGAATTAAAATTCCGGTATCTGCAAACAATGTCGAGCTGATAAACAGGCTGATGTAGAGTCAAGTTTGTACTTACTATTTACTATAATGACTATTTTACAATAATTACCAAAATCACACAATATTAATGTACTTATAACTTTATTCTCTACTCGTATGATCAATAAGTTAATTTTAGGTGATAATCTAAAATTCCGTGCGATTATTTAACATATTACCGCAAATATCATTTTGAATAACTCCGATAGACGCGTAGGTATATCTTTTTAAAATTAAAATCGTTCTCATTTTAATTTGATCATTTTACATATGTACAGGGTACCGATATCACGGAATTATTTGTAACGTACCATTTAAATACCAAAATGGTAACGGACGTGATACGTAAATTTTATGTACGCCAGGCAGTTACACCGAGGAAATCGCCTTTCACGTTTAAACCGGACGGATTTTACAACGTATTGAAATCCAGAGCCGCCAAACAGTTATCTCTCGTCAAACCCGATAACTACACCATTAAGTCTATGCTAGTTGTCGATACTTACATCCTCGTGACACTAGCCCTCTGCATAGGAGTTTCTCTGACACAAAATATTTTACACACCCTTATATTGGCTGTATTGACCGGCGCTGTGTTGGGACTCGGGACCGTGGCCAGTCATAATTTCACTCATCTTAAAGACAACTGGAGGATGTATTACGTGCAATTGAGCATGATATCTGTTCGGTGAGTGCAGTTTTACTCGTATTGTTATAAATCTAAACATTTCTTAGAACAAATTGTCATTGTTTGTTGTTACGTATCTATATAGGGAATGGAGAATATCGCATGTATTTAGTCACCATATCTTCACGAATACAGTACAAGACTTGGAAATGACACTGCTATATCCGTTCATCCACTGGTTTCCGACGGATGACAAACCGTTCACAGTCCGCTTATTCCCCTTTCTCACGCCCGTCATTTATCCTTTCATAATACCCGGGCAATTAGCTATTAGGTATACATTTTATATATGTCAATATACGACAAATCCAAAATAATGGTGTTTAATTGCAAAATGTTATTATTATGTACCAAATTACCGATGTTACAGAACTTTTAAGGGCAAAAATGATATAGCTGATCTTTTAATATTCGTTATACCAGCTCTGTTGATGTTATTCGGGCAGTTGACCGTTATTTCTGCCCTTATCGCGTGGCTTTTTATAGTGATGACGAGTAGTTTTATGTTTACTTTCGTTGGATTCAGCGCTCCGCATCATTTTCCCGATAATTTCCACGACGGAGACAATGTCAAGTAAAACAGTTTGAAATAATATTATAATACGCCTACCTACATGCGTTTACATTTTAATTGATTATTTCATTCAATTCATATTTAATTGATTAATAATTATTAATAATAATTCAAATTGCATGTAATTTTAAATATAAATATTTATAGTAAATTAACCATTTTAAATCGTACATTTATTCTACCAAGTACACAATTATTATCGTTAGTAAAACTAATTGTGTTTTTAAAGGGCATAACGAAAGTTATAATCACATTTTTAATTCAATTTTTATTTTAAAGATAATGCTTATTAGGTAGTGTGTTCACATTTCAAAATAATATTTTATTATGTGTCATAAATGCATAATCTTTAAATAATAATATTTTTATTATTATATATATTTTTTTTCTCTGATTTAGTGGTGAACACATGGATTGGGGACTTCATCAAACGTACACCAGTGTAGAACGGAACGAACCGATTGATAATATATTTTTAACGATGGCCACGTTCGGGGACCATACACTACATCATTTATTTCCTGCTTTAGACCATAGTTTAATACCGCTCTTACAAGACACATTCGAAGACACGTGTAAAGAATTCGGACTGGATTTGACACAAAAATCTGCGGTGACGATTGCGCGCGGACAATTCAAACAATTAGTTCGCCTCACTCCGAACGATCCGAAAAGAATACCATAATACTATTAATTAATATTTTCGAAACCTTAATGGATCGATACATTTCCTATTGAATATCAGAAAAATTACGGATACACAAATTTTTTTTGAAAAATGTGGCTATCCCTATAATTGGGCTATTGCGCCAAAAAACGCCTGTAGGCTGTAATTATGTACATAAATATTGATGAATAACAGCTAGTACAGGCGTATAATACACAATTGAACCATAGATTTTATAATATTCCATGGAAAATCAAAACATATTATATTATATACATTTTTTTTTTATCGTGGAACACGATTATCGTTTCCTAACATACATTTTTTTTATTGTTTTATAAAATCCAACTTTTTGTTTTGAAATACCTAGTAAATTTTACACTTTTTTATGTATAAACATTTTATTGGCCATTTTCGTCGGAATATTGTTCTTACTTTAAGACGATAATGCATGCATGATACCACGTTAATTTTTTGCTCAATAGGTACCTACCTATTTACAGGACATTATAAATGCATAACTAGCTAATGGAAATATAATTTATAAATGGTTATTTATAAATTATAATTATAAGGAATATTATTATTGTTTACATTTTCTGTTTTAGAACCTATCTTTCATCAAAATTATATTATATAGTGAAGTACAGTAACTATACAAATATTTTTAGATTTGATACCTCTTTAAATTATATGAGAATTATTATCCCTACATAATAGTAGTAATAGGTGTGATTATTTAATACGATATTTTGATGCAATTGCATATTCATTCTGTTATAATGAATATCATGTTGTCAGAATGATTATCATCAAAATCACATTATTTTAATTTGCAAGAAAGACGTAGGGAATTTATTGTTTTAAAAATAGAAATTTTATGTGTATCGTAGGAAGAAGGTACAATTGTTAATACTTATAATGTAAAAAAAAATATACATGTATGTTAGTAAAATTAATGGCTTCTTTATACTGATACATAGAATTTTTTTTTTAAGCTACAAACGTATTGGCAAGGTTGAGCAGCTAGGTGTTGTTATTAAGTACTATCTGTTTTTTTGATCTTACGGACGTTAATGATAATATTATAATATCAACACCTAAATACCTGTATATGAAAATATTATGCGAAATATATAGGTATAGACAAGAAAAAAAAAATAAAATAAACATCACGCATTCTATAGCCCGTTTTGAGTTTAATAATGAATTTATATGAAATATTAATTAGGAACCATAACCTAATTTTTCTTTGCAGTTGTTTATTTTTTTTAGGGGGGGGGATAAGTATGTACAATTTATGTTTTATGTTATAATCAGTGCTGGCAAAGATAACAGTTAAATAGTTTATCTAGATAAAAGATATAGATAATCGTATTCATGAATTAACATTTATCTGAGATAAAGATAATTTTAAATTATTTATAGAAATAACGTATATTAAGACAATATAAAAAAATAATATTTTAAGAAGGTATATTCAGAATTAAAATATATTATTAAAACTCAATGTATTACAGGTATTACAGGTCAGTCTGTATAATTCCTATATCCTTTTTTTGAAAAATCAATTATTTTTTTTAGTCAAAATATGATATTATAACTATAATACTACATATTTGACATTTTTAAATAAACCAAGTGATTATAGAAAACAAAAAGTTAGCTTAGGTTAGGAACTAGACATTTTCAAATCTGAGGATAGAAATACTATACGTTCTATGTGGTGTTCACTCCATCCCCCTTTAAAGCTAAGATCCTTTAAACAAGATCTCTTATTTATTATTTTTCCTATTTTACTCTTATATACTGTAAAATTTAATTTATGAGATTTATGAGATTTCTTTAAATATATGTACAAGTAAAAATATACAAATTCGCCCCTGAAAATATTACGTCAATAAATCCCCGCTCCTTCTTGGTTGATGATTGGTTAATGGTTATATTATTATTTTAATATGAGTGGAATTAAAAAAAAATTATGTCAAAATACGGGAGTTATAAAAATGTTGTATAATATTCGTAAATTCGAATGTTTAAACCGTGTTCAGGGTCATTGTGTTTAGAACGATACAGAAATAATAACATATAAACCACAAAATATAAATAATTAGATACGTACCAGATAGATTTTTGTTTCTTTTAAGCAAACTCAATATCAGAAACCCAAGGATTTTACAACTAGGTCATAAGTATACTTCAGTCGTCTAGAGATTGTATAGTTTTACTAAATGATGGTTTATTAACTTCGCTTCAAATCGTTTTTTGTTAGCAATGGTTTATCGTTGGTTACAGATTTCAATTAAATAACTTTTTAATTTCTCACCTACAACAGTGGCTACACCTATCTCCAGTATCAGCTTTTTTTTAGATTGAAGTAAAAATAATGTATTGGTAGTAAAAAATGTGCATTTATTTTAATTTTTAATTTTTGTTTCCTGTTTGAACAATTTTTTCACCACAATTCTTTCGTCAATCATCAACATCGGATGTAGTTTCTGGTAGTAAATATGCAACTTAAATTGATTATGTGAACTCATTGTGGATTGAGACTTAAGTTTACTTTATACCAATAATTGGAATATTGAAATGTATTCTTTCCTCTCATGTAATAAAAGGAGTTCATGGCTCTGCTCAGTTGACCAAAAATATGGTTAAGTATAATTTATAGAGTATTTTTAACAATCGAGATTTTGCTAAATATTTTCGAATTTATTAATAAGTTCAGGTTTTCGGCATAAATGTGTCACTGATAATAATTATTATTAATTAATGTTATCCTTATCGAGCGGAGTAGAGGCATAAAAAAATACGAGTATGCGCAATGTAAAAAAAAAAAAAATCGAACGATGGGAGAATCGTTTTTGTGTCGGACATAACGAAAAATACAGAAAACAGTAATAAGAATAACACTACGTCATAATAACGTGTACATCGGACCGGTGCACACAGGCATTCCGTCAGTGGTCACTAATTATTTTATCAAAAAGGGATGAACAAATAATATTATCATACGTGCGCATAGAATGTATAAATAAATATTTACATATACACGCTGAACACAACTACACATATATAAAAAGTGCTATCGAGAGCAATTTTATTAAAATAATAAAAAAAATAAAAAAGATAAATAGACTTCTAAATAATACTATTATCATGTTCGTATGTAGTGGTCGCGGATATGTACAAAATTTACAAACGGTTATTAAAAAACACGAGTTTGTAAAATGTAGGTATTGTAATATTATTATGTAACTGAACTAATGAACAGTAAAAATCCGAAGGGAATATAGGTCGTTTTATTAATATTAGGTAAATATTAGATATTTGCATATTGCCAGGCGTAATAATTGTCCATTAAATTGATTTTGTTTTTATCCGGGAAGCCAGAAATCAATAATACAAAAAAAAAATATAAGATTGGTTAATGTTACAAATACTGCTCATGGGTAGGCTATCTTTTTTGAAAGTGGTAAGTTGTGATGTGGTAAAATTTCAAGCTATTCTTGAGCTATTTTATAGATATTTTAATTTTGTGAGTTTTATACGTAATCTTTATTCGGTAGGTACTTTGTGGATAAAAATAAAATTGTTAGACAAAACAGAAACGTTTGAAAATTTTATATAAGTTGTGCTTATGTGAACACTTTTTATACCAGAGAGCTTACTCCGATTTTCAAGTAAGCAGCTTTTCCGAGAGTAAATGTTTTCCGGGTGGTTCTTTAAAGAGGTCATTTTTTTAGATTCTCATAAATATCCGGGATAATGAGGAAAACCTGGTTCTTTAGGTTAAAAAGATTGAAAGATTAAAAACCGATTGTCATTGGTAACCGTTTTTATTTATGTTTTGTTATTATTAATTTTTATTGTTTTAAAATATTTTTTGAACAATCATTGTTATCATCGCTGTATTAATTTTACCATAATATGACATTATATATATTGTTGACAAAGCAACATAATCGTTTTACGTAAACAATGACTAATCGTTGTGTACAGATATAAATTGAATTTCCCTCTAAATCCTACGTTCCCAACTTCTTACCTACAACAATGTCCTACCCATCGTGCAAAACATATCCAGTTTTTTTCTTTTTCTCCTTCGATAATTTGAACGACAAGCTCTCGGTTCCCTGAATTTCAATAGTATTATTGAGAGGCTGATGCTCTATATCATATTTATTTTTGAATTTTCGAATTTCTATATTATTACCGTCGTCGTCGGTTCCGTAGTATAATAATGTTATTATAATCTATATTGACAGTACAAATCCGTTAATGATTGATAAACATCGTTTCCGCCTGAGAAAACCGAAACGTGGGCGAAACGGTCGTATATTTTATATATATAATAATAATAGCAGTATACAATGTATTCAGAAACGGTAATGAAAGAAAAAAAAACAAATTCGAAGAAAACGTTAATATTTCGGAGGTATGGATGTGAAAAAACTTATCTCGCGAGTAACCGATATAAAATATATATAGAATATAATAAATAATAACATACCTACGTGTATCCACTCACGTCCCACACTCATGATGGTTTTATGAACATAAGGAGAGAACGACAGAGAAAGATACTCCTTTAAATCATCCGAAGGCACTTTTAAAAACTAAACGGTACCTGCAGCATAGGCGTGCGAAAGCGGTACGTACATAGAGTACTTGGCATTTTTTTGTCTTTCGACTGTTGACAAAGGATTTTCTTCAGTCGAAAACAATTCAGCGTGTCATATTGGACGTATTGAGTTGATTTTGAATAACGTCTTTTCATATATTTTCAAATTACTGAAATTTCAGAAATCGATTTTTAATTTGTATGGTTTCAATTTTTATTTTGATATTGGTGTCATGTTTTAACGGTTTTAATCGGTATTTAAAATCGATTTCAAGTCCCGAATTAGTATTCCTCGATAATAGTATTCCTGGAGATCAAGTATTTCAGGCAATAATTCACTCAAAAATGACACACAAATATTCTATGGCAAAAGGCGACCCACCAATATGTCAAGTATGCGGTACCACGCTCACAATTAAACAAATTTTCGAAGAATACAAAATATATGAAAAACAAAGAGAAGAAGTAAACATAAGCCATGATATCAGCATAAGTCTAGGTCCAAACCTAGACAACGAAATAAATACTATAGAATTTTTAAAAACGCAAATATTAAAATCATTATAAGATAACACTAACAACATTGCAATGTAAACCAAATTGTTTTAAATTCATATGTATGTTAATTAACTAATTTTTATTCATTCATACTCTATTTTTTAGTTTTTTGTGTTATTATGTTGTTAAAGCAAAAATTAATAATTTCAAGAATAAAAAAAAAAAAATAACCTCAAATATCTCCAGTCCACATTTTCATTGAAATACTATTTTGGAAAGTCATGATTATCATTTGAAAACTTAGATACATATTAATAAGATATGTCTAATTCTTATTTAGGTGAAAATATTGAACACAGCAGTGATGCAGGGTAAATAATATATATAAAGCAGTGTGATATTCCTCAAGTTATAAATCTGAATTCTACTTCATATGAACTACGGGGAGCGATACATGTTCGCAGAAGTAGAAGTCTACTTCGTAATACAGTAGGACATTACAAAGCTTATGTAAAAAGATGCGACAAAAATTGGAAGTTATTTGATGACCTTGAAAAAAGGCCAGTGCCGGTTGAAGAAAGTACAAAAGTGTCGTGTAAACTATACACTATATAATCGTAAACTTGTAAGTAATAATAATATAATACACAAACGGAGAATTTATTGTATATTTGATATTAAAAAAAAAAAAAAAATGTCAACTACCTGTTACAAATATTATCTTATGTACCTTTAATTACAATAAAGAGTAAATTTATATATATATATATATACATTTATAAATGAATGTATGTATGTCTGTCTTTTACGCGTTCCTAAATGGCTGGACCGATTTTGATGGAATGTTTTGTGTGTGCTTGAGTGGGTCCTTAAATGATTTGGATTTTCACAATTGGACCCGGCAGGGTCAACCCGGAGATAACCTAACATTTGATTAACTAACCTTTAAGGTACCTATAGTTTGATAAACGTAATTGTGACATTATTTCCATGACTACTATTCCAACACTGAATTTTTCCTTGAATAACTCTATTTGTACCATAATAATATTATTCAGTTGGCCGTAAACTCCAATGATCGGGAAACGTTCCGTATCTAGACTTAGCGAAAAAGGCTGCTATCGCGGCGCGGCGGTTATATTACATTATGTACGTATGTGCTGGGGTTTATTTTATAACGTCAGTTTTTATATTGTTAACCATTATTATTATTTTAGATATTGAGCGCAACGAACCGTATTAGGTATACGATGATTTTTCTTTAAACAATATTTTTTTTCTTTTGCAACAACTTTCTGTTAGAAATCTTGCTCCAATCAAAAACGCCGGGAAAGTTGTTGTTTTTTTTTTTTTATAGCATTTCTAGTTGGTGCATTGAGAATGTTGTTTTTTGATTTTCCTACAAGTATTCTATTAGAAACCAGAAACTACAAGTTTTCTAAATAACTGAGAAAAACTGGGAAAAAATCTATGGAAAATGGGAGAGTTTACGGCAATTATGATTTTATTATTTTCGATTGTTTTTCTTGTTGTAATTCGTTTAATAATAACCGTAGATACCTGCGTTTTTTGTAGAATTTTTGCATTATCCTTGCATTTATAGATTAGGTAAAATTTTCAAAATATTCTGTCGATTTATCAATAGTTATAATTTGACATTTTCGAGTTAGTTTTTATTTGGTTTTTATATGGATAACAGTGTTTGGTCAAATAGGAATGCTTGACAATTTAACGCAAGATTCGTTGTAAGTTGCATTCGGTGGTAAATAAAAAAATCTGACCTTAATATACAAGTTTTTTTTTATAAGGGTTTTAAGTTCAAATTTTCACTTAAATCGTTAAAAATCACAGGATTTAAAACCATGTACCCATTATTTACCTATAATCGAAATTCACTCAGAATCGTATTTCGTTAGCAATGATTAATAGGTCGTGTACAGATAAAAATTAAATAATTCGCTTACCTCAACATCGCATTACTACCTTACCTCAACATCTCACCTACAACAGTGGCATACGCATCAGTAGTTTCGGCTTACTTTTGTATGCCCGTGCGGCTTTTCCGACATTAAGCGCATTATTAATGCCGATAGATTACCTTTCGTCTTTCGCCAGACGTTCTGTTTAGTTTTGGTGAGTATAATATATTAATAACATTCGACGGGATTGTCGTCTTTGTCGAATGGATAAAGGAAAAAAAAAAATTATCTCGAGATAAACGCGAAATATAATAATACGTCTCAAAACTCCCGAGTCTTTATACCTATACGGTTTAAGGGAATCTGTTCGACAAAAGCACTCGTCCGGATGTAGTATAATATTATACTTGTATATTATTAATAAAAGCTAAAAAGCCCCTTAGCGAGTGAAGATTCCGTTATATTATGCTATAATATTTTAGTCTGTACCTACTTAACAAATATACGACCATTATTAATAATAATATACAGTTGTTAGGGTTGTGTGAAACTTTAGAGAACCGATAAATGGTTATATAGGTTCTGTGAAATTCGCAGAGCATCTCAATAACAAAATAGTCTGTGTATAATCATTTGATTATAATTTCGTTATCACGTAATTACGTAATTTAATTTTCAAGTTATTGCAGATGCGTTATTTTTGTGGTGACGTAGAAAGTATAAAATACAAAGGAAATGCCAGTTTTTTATCACTATCGTCTTAAATAAAATAAGTGTGAAATTTTTAAAATTTTGATTTTGAGATTAAGCCAAGCAGGCAGTTAATAAATAGACCAAGATCTCTTATGGTTTGGATTTTAAAATTTAAAACAAAATTTACTACTTTTTATTCAAATTTTAAATCCAATACATAATTTCTTTAGAATTCCATTTTCAGTTTTTGTTTATACGTAGCTACATTTTAAATTATTACAGCACTGTAATATTCAATAAATAAATGTTTATCCAGTCAAGAATTAACTACAACTGTTATATAATTTATTATAAATGAAAAAATTAATTTGGTTTCTAATTTTGGGGACACTAAATTAAATACTAAATACTAAACTTAAACCCATTAAAGTTTCAATTTCAAAAATATTTTGAAAAAAATAACATACTTAATCAAACATTAGAAATACATGATGAAATAAACTGACTTCAGAGTATAATTTTGTATTTAATTTTATTCAAGGTTCGTTGTGAAAAAATAAATTAAAATTCACATCTAAAAAAAATATCGTTATAAAATACCATATTATATGTACATAGATGATTTGGAAATTAATAATCCATAAGGTTCAAGATCAAACTTTCAGTCTATTTCTGCTCTATATTATAATTTTGCTCTTATCAAAAATAATTCAAAACTTTCGAACATATTTTTAGCTGCTTTAAATAAATCAAAAAATTTAAAACAATTTGAAAATGATTTGTTTTTTAAACACGTTTAGCTGATGAATTAAACCGTCTCTAGAAAGAGATGGAATTTCTATAAAGACCTTATGTGTCATAAAAAAATGTGAATTTTATCTCGGGTTTAGTTATTGGTGATACTTTAGCATTCTTTTAGCCTTATACTTTAAGTATTAATTGTTTTTACAATTTTAGCAAATCTTTTTCAGCTAATTATTTCCGTAGATGTTCGCAAAAATAATAAATTAGTTACCAAATATAAGATGAATTAACGCTTCGAAACATTCACAATTATAATACGGATGTTTAAATAAACAACTTTTAATTAAAATGTGTTAACGAAGAGTGTATTTTGAATAAAATCAATATGTTTCACATGTTACGACAAATTACTGTGTCGACATAATGCACGATCATCTTATTGAAGGCGTTTGTCACTAGAATCTGTGTCGCATTCTTAGTTAGTACTTAATTGCTATTCATAATTAGTTTAAAATCGTTTACACGACACAATGCGGGGCGCAATAACACACCAACGACGTGAACGAGCGGTTGCGGTAACCGCTACGTTTTGCGCGTGGTTGCCATACGGCGCGCGAGTTGCCAAAAATGGTAACCTCCGGCCGGCGCGTCCAGGTNGCAAATATTATGCGCACGCGCAACCTCCGGCCAGCATCCAAGACCGGTGCGGTACGCACGGCGGCGGCCGGATCGCGGAGGGGCGCGGGCCCGTTCGTTGACGGGCCGCGGACAATTACGCGAATATTAAACGCCGGTACCGGATATTATTATGGAAAATATCTCGACGCATTGTTATGTAGGTACCGAGAGATACCACGTGGCAAATATTATGCGCACGCGCAACCTCCGGCCAGCATCAAAGACCGGTGCGGTACGCACGGCGGCGGCTGGATCGCGGAGGGGCGCGGGCCCGCTCGTTGACGGGCCGCGGACAATTACGCGAAGTCGTCACTCGTTATACAAAACGTACGATAATGTCCGCCATTATGGGACGGTTAGACGATATCGACAGACTGTTGTAACGCCGGAAAATTCACGTCTGCCGGCCGGCTGCGTCGGCGTGGCCGCACGGCGCGCGATGAAAACGAGACTTTAGGACGAGCGCGAGCGCAGAAGTCGCAGACGACGACCGGACGGTCCGACGGTCGCCGGTAGAAATGACGAGCGCCCGGCGGACGGTGCGATCGACGGCAACGGCGAACGTCGTCGCCCGTTCGCGGTTTTCCCATTGCGTCGCGCGAACGGCCGGGCGCGGGCCGGGGTGCAACTAGTTTGACCAATTTTCACCGATACCAACTCGCGTTTTTCTAAATTATCGTATTGTATTATGCACGGGCCGCGATATTATTGCACCCGACGATCGCAACGTGGTCCAAGGTCGTCGTATAATTATTATTATTCCCGTCGTTTGGCGACGACCGCCGCGCTGACACGACTTGTGTTACGGGTATAATACGGGACGAACGGACAATTGTCTAGATACTCTGTGCACGACATACTACTATTGTCCGCTGCCAAACACTCATCGGTACCGACTTACTTTATTTTACACGGGGTTGCCAACTTTTTTAAAAACGAATTGTCTACTTGCCGGCCAACGTACAGGTATTTTTCGTAACAATTTGCTACTGTCGTTTTGAGAAACTGGCGAATTAGCCGGGCCCCTCCCTACGTCAAAACAAATTCGACAACTCTACCGTACTGGATGATAGTGTTTTATTCAATTGTAAGCGCGTAAAGAATTTTAACCGACTTACGATTGAGTTGGTACGTTTTATTTAACAACAAACGATGTGAAATCTGATTAGACCGGGCAAGGAGAATTTTCAGTCAAATACCACCTAACTAAAATAACATCAATTCAAGAATTGCCTGTAAGTACATACGTATCACGGGTGGTGAAAACAGGAGGAATGAAGAGGGTATATCCCCATTTTTGTGATTTAAAAGAAAGAAAAGAAAATCGTTTTTAATTAATGTTTTATAAACTTTTGTAGGTGCATTGTAAAAAA